CCGGGGTCGAATACGGGGGAGAGGTTGCCTACTGCTTCGCCTGTTAGGCCCACGCCGGCGCCGATTGAGCAGACGGGGGTGGGGTGGAGGGGGAGTGTGGATTGGGGGATGATGGAGTTGGGGGTTCTTGCTGTAGGGGTGTTTGTTTGGTTGTAATGTGTTGGGTGGGATGGTGTTTTTGTTGTTTTGTGCTCTGTCTATTGTGAGGGTGCTTGGAAATCCGCAGCATTTGCTTCATTTCGGAGTTTGGTTGGTTGGTTGGTGTTTGAAACTTGGGAAATAATTGATACCCCCACAGTTACTGTTTGTTGTTAATGTTGCTTTATTCTAGTAGATGCAGCGAGGGAAGATGAGTGGTTTAGTAAGAACATGTATCCGAAAGATAATGAATAACGATATATCTATAATTCCAAACTCATTCCCCTCTCTTATCTACAAAAAGATTCTTCTACAATATAACGTCTCCGAGATCAGCGTGTTGAACTGCAGTGGTTGGGGTTTTAAGTATTAGTACTTCATTAACTCCGCCCAAATAGTAATAATCGCAGCTACCTACTTCAACTCGCCAACAACTCAATCAACTACCTCCTATTTCCCATTTAACTCGCGTACAATATCTAGCCCCGGTCATCGTAGCACCCCAAGTCCCCTGGTAACACCCCAGATAGTCGGTTACTGTAGCACGTCCAGAATTAGCCGAGATCTTTTAACGACTCAACTAACACCTAATACTACTTCATTAGTTTACTAAAAAAGTCACTGGTAAATTGATACTGATTTAAGGTAGTAGGTCGTTCTATTCTGACTGTATAATCTACTCTCACGCCCGTAAAGAGTTAGAGAGAGTAATTAGATACTATAACTTCTAATCTATTACCCTAAGCTCCCTAAGCTCCCTAAGCTCCCTGGGATATCTAGGAGTACTTATTCTTCTAGAAGCTACCTTACATGTCTTGAGTTCCATCCTACCCCAATATCTTTCTCAAGATAGAAAAATGAAAGAAGTGCTAGATAACCCCATCCCCACAGATAGCTATCTATCTCCGTGATACATCTTATTGCCAACCCCTCATTTTCACATTCAAATTTACTAGACCATCATCCCATCATCATACTCCTCCTAAAAACCTCCACCTTAACTCCAGCTCCAATTCCCCAACTCTAAACTACACGCATAGAAACGTACAGTTCCTTATCCCTCTCCTTCCTCACCCCTATTTCCTTGCTATATAAGTTATCCCCATCCTCGTCCTCATCACCATCCGCATCCCCATCCTCATCCTCATCCTTATCCCCACACTTATTACCATCCCCATTCCCATACCATTAGATACCTTCATCTCCGCAAATCCAAACCCCAAACCCCCTAAAGCTAATAATTCAATAATCCGCGATAAATACACTTCTTCCCTCTTCTCCCCTCTTCTCCTTCATCTCTGCCTACCTCGTAACACCATACCAACCTCACAGCCACACAGAGTAACCGAAAAACCTCTCCTCTCCCTTCTATTTCTATCTACAATCCCATAACGATCAAAACCCCACACATCCTCCTTCATACCTCAACCCCTCCGACTTCAGGATGTATTGATTTTAGAAGGTAAGTAAACTGTTACTGTATAGAATAAACGAATAAACAGACGACATAAAAGAAGAAGAAGAAGAAGAAGAGACAGGAAGAAGGAAAAGAAGAAGAAGAAGGGGAAGAAGAACAAGTAGGAAAGAGAAAAAGAAAAAGAAAATTAAGGGAGATGAAGTGAAAAGGTAAAAAAGAAAAGGAGATATGGAAACCAAAGAACCCACTCACTTACTCACTCACTTCTTACTCCTGCTCACCTTCAACACTCTCACTCTATTTACATTCAATGTACTGTACCTTTATACATCTCACACCTACGCATTTCATCCCATTTCATTGAGTCCATTCTCCCAAAGTCCTGTGAAATCTAGAAATCCACATCAAGGAAACCACCTAACCAGTAAACAAACAACCCACACATCCAGAACCCGACTTAACTAACATCACCAAATCCATCCCCCATCGCAATATCCAATCTTCAGCTCTTGCTATTTTATTCCCCAACAACATATCACACAAACACACAAATATTCGAAAATCACCTACCTACCTATGTAGAACAGCCATAGACATCACAAGAACACGAACAGGGGATGCCAGATGCGAGAAAACATTATTTGTATTCATCCTTACTACATACATACAGTACGCCTTAAGTACATCTATCTGCACCCATGAAAATGCATCGCAATGAATGCCATTTGTAGAAATCAAAAGAAAGAAGAAGTGCACACCAAGTCTTTTTGTACCCCTCCCAACGCCATGCCTGTTGCGAAAAATCACTAAACCCAAGGATCGCCATCACCATCGCAACTCCCAATTCCCAACCCAATTCCTCATTCCCCGTGACTCCATCCTCACTACACCCACTTCTCTCTGGCCGAGTCAACCAAGTAGAGTTTTACGATAATCAACTCTCAAACTTCTTAGCCTCCATCCCCTCCGGCGGCGTCGTCTCAAAAGTCCTCGCCCCAACATCCTTCCAATCCGTACTCAAACTCGTCCCATTACTCTCCTGATAACTCTTCATCATGGCGCGTCTCGTATCGGGATCCGCATCCTTATACAGCTTCTTGAAGAAATCATCAACTCCATCGCCGTCTTCTTCTCCTTCCTCGTCCGCGCCGAGCTTTTCCCAGTCCTTGGGTCCGGATTTGGAACTGGTGGGGTAGACGGGTGCTTTTTCGACTTTGGGCGGGTTGAGGATTGCGCTGGGGATTGTGGAGGTGGTGGTGGAGTAGGGGATGGGTGTTGTGCCTTCGAGAGAGGACCATTTGGTGCCGGGAAGGGACTTGTGGAGGATGATCTCGATTTTGTGCGGGGTGATGCGGAAGGAGGATTTGGAGGGGTCGATGGGGGAGAAGAGGGGGGAGGCGTGGTAAGTGTACGTGCTATTTGAGGTTTCGACTGGGAAGGTTATTTCAAGCTGGATGAGTAAATTAGTATATTCCGTCTTCAAAAGTATCGGAGAGACAGAGAGGGTTTGACTTACACTTCCTGCCTCAATCAAGATCTCAGCTTTATCCTTCGGGACCCCCTTTGCGAAAACCTCAATAGTGACACTATTCGTAGACTGATACCACTCCTGACGAATCTTCTCCTTGGGCGTCGCAGTAACAGTCTTCGTCGCAGCCGTAGTCGTAACAGGCTTAACCTCCTCCACCTTCTTCTCCACCTTCTTAACCTCCTTCTTCTTATCCGGAACCTCCACCACCGTCGTCTTATTACACTCCGCACCCCCCCCCCCTTTAGCATCATACTCCTTCGCCACCTTCCCCAACCACATCGTCAGTCCCTTCTCCTTCTCATTATACTTGCGCGCCCAATTGAAGCACAACCGCGCATCGCCCAGACGTCCCAGACTGTACAGCGCAACCCCACGGCGAAACTCGGCGGTAGCGATGAGTTCGCGACGCGCGCGAGAGACGGCGCCTATGACGGCATTGTTTGCGTCTTCGAGGGCAAGCTCGTGTTGGTTGGTGCGTTGGTAGGCGGTGGAACGTTGGATGAGCCAGAGTGGTGAGGGGCTTTCTTTGAGGGCGAGTGTGAGGTGCTCGATGGCGGCGGGGTAGTCGGATTTGCCCAGGGCTTCTTGGCCACGGGCTGCGTGGGAACTCATTTTGATGAGCACTTGTTGTGTTTGTATTAGGTGGTGTCGGGTATTGAGAGACGAATCGGTTTGGCAAGAAGTTGAGTAACAAAGTCGGTTGATTTATTGTTGGTTGTTCAGGCACCGACTTCAGTAAATAAAAAAGGTTGGGGGGCGGGGTGGAGAGCTCCAAAGGGAGAGGAGGTGCAGGTTTTAAGAGCTTCTGGAAACTTCCTAGCTCTGATCTAGCCACATTCACCAACAAAAATGTCTCTCAAGCTATCGTAAAAAACAAGTTCCTTTTCTCGGTTTTTGAAGTCATAATGGTGGTGAATCTTATTACATTACATTAATTCCTATCAATCGTCATAATTGTGACCCACTCTCATTCATTAGCTTCAACTACCAAGCTCGACACCCCACACAAAGTTCATAGCAAAGCAGAATCCCCATAACGTTTAGCGAACATGCCCAATGCCTTGATAGGGAAAACGAACTTGTAGTTGGGGTATGATATCATGCAACTTTTGTTGAAAACTCCCTCAATGGCCTCTTGTAACCACTCTCCATTAGGCTGCTGTCGACTCATTATAAGCTTCAAGCCCTTCTCGATAGGTGCTCGATCCGGATAATGCGCTTCAAGTAATCCAAGAATTGCCCAAGCGGTCATGACCACCTGGGATCCAGTTGGATGTTCCGTATAGATTTTAGTTTCACATGACTGAGCATTTTAGTATCTAAAAGGCTTCGAGGATATTCAAATTGACTTACTCGATAACTTTCTGACCATCCACCATCTTCCCGTTGTTTGGATAGCAAGAAATCACATCCTTTACGAGAAAATTCGCTGTTCTCATAGAATTCGCCAATGCTTGCAAGACTTTCCAATGCAAACATTCCAGCATAGGTAAAGCAAATTCCCCAACTACCATACCAGCTCCCATCCGGATATTGGGCATCACGGATGTACTGTACAGCTCTCGCCTTGAACTGTTTAATCTCTGTAGCTCGGTATTCTGGGTAATGTTTTGTAAATAATGACAGTGCCGTCACAACTGCCGTCGTACATTCAGGGTAGTCGTATTCAATCATAATTCGACCGAAAACTTCTGCGGCGTTAAGCATTTCCAGTCTTTCGGATCCACGAGTTGGCTCGTAAGAAGCACATCCACCCGAAGCATTCTGATAGGTAAGGAGCGTGTCAATGGCATCATAAATTCGTTGATCCTCGAGAAGTTGTGGGTAGCCAGGGGTTCTCTGTAGAAGAAGTACTGCTTTCAGTGCTTCAGAGATACAGTCACTAACGGCATATCCTTGGTCTTTAGTACTGAATGCCCATGCGCCTTTTCGTTGTTGTCTGTAACACATGGCTTGGTCGTCGACATTTTCTCGAATTTGTTGGTCTTCAAGAAATTCCAATCCCTTGGTCAGCATAGGTCGCCATTTATCATCCTCAGCAAGACCTGCATCCATAACTGCCTGAATCAAGAAAGCAGTATCCCAGCATTGTACGCCGTTGGTGCCGTTGACAAGCATTCCTTCAGCCTTCACCCATAAGAAATCAGCTAGTCGATCCCGATGTCTCTGAACAGAATATGCGTTGGGTCCTTCTTTAATATAACAACAAAGTAAGTTCATCGGAGCGTTGACAGGCGCAAGGCAAGAATAATCGGTATTTTTGTCTTCCATCTGAATCAACTTCCAGACCCAGTCTTCCGCCTTCTGCACTAAAGACTGTATTCTGAAATATGGCCAAACATTTACCAGGACCCAATTTGCCGAGTTTAGCAACCATGTCTTGGGATGGTAATTATCCTTGTGGTAAATACTGTTACGATTGCCGGCCCAGCTGATTGTCTCATACGGCTCGACGAAAAGCTCCTCCCGAAGTTGGAGTGCAACTGGTGTTAATTTGGCAGTCCATCTTCTCGACCATATAAACGACATTGGTAGGAAGACCATTCGCATATGGATCCACCATCTCCATGGGGCAAAAGGCGCCGAGTCAGGCAACAACCAGAACTCAGGAGGACATGGGTTTACAATATCCCACTGGCATACCCCCAGTACACTGAGCCAGAACTTTGCCCAATATGGTCCGTTTTTGGCGCCTCCCATCTTGTGCAGGGTCCCTCGAGCCTTAACCATTCGCTCGTCCTCCTCACTAACTCCCAGCAGACGTAATGACGTATAGTTCATGGCCGTGCCAAAGACGGTGCTTTCTCCCTCGATATGTAAACCCCATCCGCCATCTTCTGGGTGTGCTCGTGCGAATAAATAGTTCTTCATCTCCGTTGCGACGTGATCTGGAATTGGTGTTTCCGTGACGAACCAAGTGATAACAAAGCCTGGAAGGAGAAACATAGGACCGCCATACTCGCAACCCCAATTTCCGGGTGGAAGCTGTAGATGTTGGAAGAATTCAAGGCCATTTTTTACTGCATCGAGAGGGGTTTGGGCTTTTGGTAGCTCGGGTAGGTCCTGGATAATTAGGTCAGTATATGTGATATAGTGCTTACTTCGAGGGAGTATATACTGTTGGGAGGCCTAGGAAATATTTATCTGCGGTAGATTGAGGCCATTTTTTGATCTCTTCATCGTCGAGATAATGCCATGTTTGCCTTCCTGCCTCATCCAATAGACGCCATCTGGAAAAATCGGTGCGTTCTTGTAGTTCAGGCATCTTATGTAGCACAGTGGAGGTGGTACTATCGTACGACTCCAGCGACAGGTTTGCAGCCGGCTTGGAATAGCTGGTACCAGTACTGGAATTGGTCTCCGTCGGGGTTTTCGTCATAGTGATTGAAAGCGGCAATGGCAAAAAGAGGTGGAATGATAGGTATCGAGGGGAGGAAGTCACTCGGTGACAACAATCATGTAAATCCCGATATTCACCCGTACGCCCTGTGGACAATCATTATTCCAATTTGGATAATTCTATTGTTCCATCTGATTGGATCAATGAGACTTGATTATCCCAACTGTTTGGATTAATGAAATTGATTGATCCAACTTGTTAGGTTGATCAAATCAAATTAAAATAATTCAGATACTCAGCTAAGAAATCAAATTAACCTACAGAGTTGGGACAATAAAAATATATCTGCGAAGTACGGAGTGGAGTCCAAGGTACCCCTGATTCCGGAAGTGAGGGTCTGCGGGCCGACACTTGGCGCCTCTCACGATGATCACGACGCTTTCAACACCACGTACAACTACCCTGGTAATAGCCTCCTCAGCTCATCCTATTCTCACACAACTATTCAAATATGAACTTTCACGATCCCTTAATTTCTCCATTTTTTCATGATGGACGCGAATTCAGTCTCCGAAAATATGAAGGAGAGCGGGGATCCTCACAATGCTCAACCCAAGAACTTGCTATCAAACTTACCAACCCGCCCACTAACCCAAGAACAAATCGCGTTTGAGACAAAAAACACGCGTCCTTCAGACAGGGAAGAGACCGTGAAAACCGGAAAGAATCCTCGGAGTACACCAGGAGCAGTCATTTCCAGAATTGAGCATATATTTGAGGACATCACAGATTGTTTGCTAGAGGGGGGAAAAGAGCTCGTGATACCGTTCAAAAGTCGACATGGAAACCGAAGCCAAACGGAACATAGACGTGGGACGGAGGGGAGTTCGACGTCTGAGACTAGATTGGTTACTTTTCCTAACAAATCGCCACGGGAAACAAGGAGATTCGGTGGGTTGGTAGATTCTGGGAATGGAGTTGGAACTGATGAGGTGTAGCAATATTACTTCGTATTCTCGAATTATCTCATGAAGCGCTTGTTACGGGGATTGTAACTACCAAGAGGTTTGTGTTTTTGCTCTATGCTTCCTCTGTTCTTACAGCTTTTCTATGTACTTGTTCATTCTGATATTTCGGCAGAGACATTTATTATCGGGATCCTGAGTTGTTTGTCAAGCAGGCGGTTGTCGATCGTTATGTTGACGATATTGCCTATACGTTTGCGGTGGAGCGCGATGCTTTGAACGTGGTATGCTCGAAGATCACCTTTGAATTCTGATATTCATGCGTTGAGATTCTGATGCCCACAAGGTTGCCGCAGCAAAAGGCCTTGTTGCCGGATCTTTCACCATTACCAAAAAAGACGGGTCAACCGTTGACTTTTCTGTAGAGAACGAGGTTTGCTCTGTTCTAGATACTTTGCAAACTCATGTCTAACAAGATCAGGGTATCTTGGTTCCAAACTCTAAAGACCTTCAAAATATTCAGTTTCAAGAAGTGGAATGGATTCTTGTGATAGAAAAAGAGGTATTGTCGACCAGCATAATGCCGAAGAACTGAACTAACAACCAAAGGCAACGTTCCGGACATTGGCAACAAGCAAATACTGGCAAGACTCATTGGCCGGAAAAGGTATTATCATTACTGTAGGCTCCCCAACGTCCCATCCAACTATTATACCTCTAACCTCACGCAGGCAAAAGGATACCCCGACATCCAAACCCGACAATTCCTCCACCTCCTCTCAACCCAACACTCCTCCCCTCCAATCTTCGCACTAGTAGACTTCGACCCCGACGGGTTGGGAATACTATCAATCTACAAGCACGGCTCCGCAGCCCTCGCCCATGAGCCTAATCTAGCGGTCCCATCCATCCAATGGCTCGGGGTTCGAAGTCGTGACTTCCTCCACGAAGAAAGGGATTTGCAGGGCCTGTTGAAAATGACATCCCGCGATCGAAGGATCGCGGGCAAGATGCTGGGGAAGAAGATGTTTGAGGAGGGGGGCTGTGAGAGTGAGTGTAGGAGGGAGTTGCAGGTTATGTTGATGTTGAATGTTAAGGCCGAGATCCAGATTCTTGGGAATGGGGAAAGGCTTGGCGGGTGGTTGGATGGGAAGTTGAAGGAGGGTATTGGGAAGGTTAAGATGGAGGCTGAGATGGCTTGATTTGTGTGACGGTGGTATTTAATTGATGAAAATTGCTTAGATTGCAACAAGTACAGCTTGGAGATTGAAAAGGAGATACCAAAAAAGCAAAAACTAGAAGATATCTCTCTCATGTCATAGTCTAAACAGCCAGTTCTGTTCATGAAAAGGGTCTTTGCAGTTCATATCCCCGTCTGGTCGGAGTGAGATCGATTGGCAGAGTGACGGTTGAGATGGTTTATTATATACACCACTTTGAATAAGCAAGAATACACCAAAGACGTAAAAACATCCCAAACCATGTATGCCTCACGAGTCTCATCAAGTCCGAAAAATCCGGACCACTCCCAACCATTCCACGAAACCGCAAAGCTAAGTTATTTAACATTGTTCATAAGAAGCAAAAATTACATATCTACCATCTCTGTCCCATCATCTACTCCCCACTCAAGTCCCGAGTCTAATCCATTGAGCCACCGTATACGAGACATAAGAAGCTATCGCGATACGAGCGCTGAGGTTAGTCTAACAAATCAAAAAATATGCTATGAATACAGTTCAGTTTGATGAAAACTCGCTTAGATACGCTCGTAGAATTCGACATCTAATATGCATATCAGACGTCTAATCCGTAGATCAGACATCCGATACACGCATTCCGCATGCACGATAGCTCTTCATCAGCTCCGCATAAGCCACTCAATCAATCAATCAATCCCTCATTCCCCCCCAAAAAACGCCATGCACCAAACAATGCAACGCCAAAACACATATCCCCAACTCCACCTCCTCCTTCCTCCATCTCCCTATATACCTCACACCACCCACCTAAAGCCCAAGCATCCTCCGACAGCTCTCCCTCACCTTCGCCTCATACTCGGGTCTCCTCTCCCTCCACATCTTCGCCGCCTCCACATTCGCGGGACTCTCGTCGTTCGGCTCGGCGAGCATGCTCATCACGCTGATGAGGATCTTCTCGACGCTTTGGATGGGGGACCACCGCTCCGAGGCGTGCTCGTAGTGGTTTGGGTCGTCGCCGGGGGGGTGGAGGATCGAGATGCAGACGAGACCGCTGGGGTAGACTATTTTGTTTCATCAGCCTTTTTTCTTTATCTATACATCAACCTATTCTTCAAACTCTCGCCCTAACCCAGAGCTGGTTCGATAAGCAATGAGGGATGAGGGGTAGAAACATACCATTAGGATGCCACACCTCCCCCAAAAACCGCATACTCGGCGGCGCAAGCGGGTAATCCTTTGGAAACTTCAGCTCTGCGGGGAACACGCCGCCTTCGAAGGGTGTCCCTTCCGGGCCTTGGATCAGCGCTTCCCAGTACAGGAGGTCGTCTTCGGAGACGGGGCCGGCGGTTATACCTTCCGGTGGGTTGTTGGAGAGGAGGCGGTATTCTTGGAAGAGACGTCGTTGGGCGGTGGTTGTTGCCATTTTTGTGGCTGGGTTGGGGTTGCGGTTTTGTTGTGAGAGAGGGGGTGGGTTGTGTTGTTAGGTGGTATGTTGTTTTGTTAATGGAAAGGTGGATGGATGGTTTTGGTGGTTTGACTGATGATGATGTATCTTATCAAGTAGGAGGTCCCTTGTGAGTCCGGGTCGGGCCGTGATCGGGGTTGGGGTTGTGATTTTCCCCGGGGTTTCGAGGCGCTGGGAATGTGGTTGTACGAGGACTGCGGTTTTGGTAATGAACTTTCTGGTGGTGAATAAGCTCTGAGTACGAAACATTTCGATTGTAATAAGGAAAAGCAAATCCTCATTTACCTCACAGTACACTACCTAGGTAATTTCTGTGTTATAATATTTAGTCTCCTGCCTACACACTAATTACAGGATTCTACTATCTAGTTTACCACTAACAAACAAGTCGAAAACTAAATTTTAACCTCAGACATCGTATTGGTCAAAAACTACACAAAATCCTCTACTCTAACTACTTTAATCGAGAACTTATAAACAAAGGATTTGTGGTCAAATTTGATAAGCTACTTGTTTATAGGCTCACCCTCCTGTTAAGGTGATTTGTAAGCAGAAATAAATGACCCAATGAGCGATGGTGGTATGCGACGGGGGGTAGCTTTGGAGTGTCATTTTAGCATTTTTAGAATCGAGACTCTCCAATCTTCTGGGATGAGAAACTTCGTTTGCAGAGTGGGCGAGTAGCCTTCATCTAAGCATTTTCATGGTTCAAAAACCTTGTTAATTTATTTAGCCTGTTCCTACCAAGTATAGTTTCTGAAGCCGCACTTTTGTGCGTAGTCCTCGAGATATCACAATACCTGATTTTATAATCAGTACAGACTAACTGTCGAGAGATCTTCATATAAGCGAACCACGAAAATCTAGTCCGCCGCGAGTACGATTAAAGTAGACGACGATTATGCAGCAAAAGATGCTTGACACCCTGCCATTATGATTGGATGGCCTTTCTCGGACTGTTTGCAAAGCAGAACAACAATCACTAGTGGACGACTTGGCTCAAAGTCCGCGTAAGAATGAATATATGGAGACTGTGAGAACTCCTCTTCCTGCAACTATTTCCCAAGCAGGAATTTTGAAAGGCATGCAAGCTTGGGTTCGATTATTTGATGAACGATTTTTTCTCGGTAGTGTTATTCAATATCTCAGAGGTATCAAAGCTGGCGACTTTGGCGACATAAATAATCTTAACACACGCGACGGCCATTGAAAATACAGCACTCGAACAATCAGTCTCAAATTCGGCGATAGAGAACGCTTGCCTGTCCACTTCAACAGATCCTTTCCAGAGTAAATGGTCTCTGTATTACTTCAGGAAATAATTCATGCGAATATGGATCTTTTCGGCGACCCTTGTTGCAGATTACTCCGTACCAAGAGGGTGAGGTTGGCATGAAGAAATATTGGCCTCTGTAGGATCATTCAGTGCGTATACTGGAATTTGAACTGCAGTCTGAAGCAAATTTTCAAGTTGATGCCACTACATAGGTTGATGTCCAATATAGTATGTTAATTGAGGGAAGGAGATAGGAAAATGAAATAGATATCCTTGCTAAACGGGAAAAGGGGGTTTCCTGACAAAGTGCCTGAGAGTACGAAAGCGGCAATGATTCATGGAGGCTTGACTTCTCTTGCTTGATTGTTTTGGCTTTTGAGCCTTGAAAAGCTACTTTGCTTCTTAGGATGATGAGCAATCGATCGTATTTCCTTCCCTAAAGAAAGGCTGCCTCTTCACAGTCTCATAGCGTTAAACAATAAGAACAACATAGAAAAAGGTCTTAGAAACGCTAAAATGATGATGAACTTAACTTTTAGTCTGCTAGTATTCTTCACAACATTTTATAATTTGCGTAGAGTTTGTAATCTGTTTTTGAATATATATATAGCACACAGAGGAAAGACGGTCGATTATTCAGGCTTCTGAGAGTTTGCTTGAGGTTGAACTAGTGACTTTGAGAAGAAAATAGAGATCCGTCATTCAATTGATTATCAATCGAATTATCTGGTCTATTCTCGGGTGAAATGTCGAAAGGCAATGTGATATTAGCACGACCTCTCGGCAAATTCCATTTCTGTATTTGAATCTTGATCCTCGCCATTTGAGGCAAAAAGTCTCAACTTTCCGTCTACGCCCATACATCCGAGAGGTTTCGCCAGTTACGAAATAAATGGCTCATGTTGATGGATCTCAGGCTGAACATTCTACTGGTAAGTGAATTTGTATGGACTTGTGCCACTCTTGGTGATGCGTCAGGCACCCCCTTTGATATCGCTAAACTGTCCATGTCCATTAGAGCACAGTACTTCTTAGCTCTTCGATATTTCACCGAATAATCCAATGATGACTCCCAAAAATGTGAACCATAGACATTGCAATTTCTGAAAATTGATATCGAAGTGATTCTGTGTGCTTTGAAGGTTTCAATCAAGCAATTTCTCCTGCACTTCAAAGACTTGCCCGCTTCTGAGTTTGTGTCTTTCGCAATCCCAAAAAGTAACGAGTTCCGTAATACCGATTCTGTCATTTGGCTGAATCTCCAAACACCTTCGTACAATTCCCTTCCAACTTTCCGGAATATCACCAGGAGATTTCCAATCCACCACCACTTCTTCCGTGCTTTCCCCATCATCAAAAATATCCATATCAGTTTGCTCTAGCAGCATCCACATTGAACGTCCCAAGCTAAAAACTTCAGCTAGCTCTAAAGCTTTAGGACAGTTCTTGCTCCACTCCAAGAACACGTTCCAGGTATTCCAGCCTTTGTCGCCCGGTGTTGTCAATGGCATGTGACGTCGTTCCGGACCAGAATACTTCCTGTACTGAAGCGTCGCATTTTCACCCTCCCCTGTTTGTTCTACATCCCAAGTACCATCAATCTCTGGTGCTGCGGTTGTGACGGGGGCATCGTTCTGCTCCTAATCAATGAGTACAAGATTGTTATTGTCGTCGAGTAGAAAATTGCCTGGCTTGATATCCATGTGGTAGGTATGTGCAACCAAATGTGTATGAGCAATAGCCGAGGCCATCTCATAGCACCATTGAGCCTTCTGTGGTAGTGGTATGCGCTGACTTGATTCTACATTCATTTGTATGTACGAAGCGAGTGTTCCATTTTGAAGAAATGGATACAAAGTGCCACAAACAACTGGCTTGTCGTCGCTGGACTTTGATACTGTAACCAATATTTGCGCTGGTTTCATGATGTTGGGATGAGGTGGCATATTTGCCAGCAGTTCTAGTGATTTGTAGTAGTTTTTGATATCTTCCTTTATATGACCACTCTCGTAGTCGAACAGAAACGTTCGGAAATCGATTCCTTTGAACACAAATTCGGACTTCGAGTGATGGGTGAGGTGTACAAGTGTAGAACATCCTCTTCCCCCAAGCTGCTATAGTCGAATCAAATCCTTCAAATCAACTGTGGAAACACTCTGGTCGAATGAAAGCTGGCCAGGCGAGGAAAGCATTGCAATGTAGTCGTTGAACAGCGGGTCGTGAAACAAGGCCCATTGGACTTTGGGCGATTCGCCTGGTTTGAAATCATACACGTCGATTATCGCATCCAGATCCACGACGTCCTCACATTTTGAGCATTCCACCCAGACCGTAGCAACTGCCAACCATAGAGCAGAGCGCATAGAAGGTCGGTTGGGAAACGTATGGAACTCGTCGTCCACCGTCCTATCGTGATAGCAACATACTATACGCGTTGCCAGAGAAGATTTTGCTTCCGAATTGATCGTAAACCGGAAAATCAATGTTTGACCATGTCCGTAGGCTTGAGCATACACGATCGTTTCGAGGTCATTACCCCATATCCACTCCCCTGATACGTCGAGCGCATTCAGTTCATCTTGGTCTCCAATGTTGTGAGCTCAGAATGTTTTCCAATCTTCCGAGCGATCAAATGTTGTTTGATAGAAAGGGGAGAACTCTTCAAATTGTAAACTAAGGTACCGGTGGGCATTAAATACCCTGAAATGACGCTAGTGCGCGTAGTGAGTGAATATCAAATATGTCCAACATCAGCTTTGGTGAAGAGGAAATGTCACTTTTTATTTGGCGCAACAACGCCTGTGCTGCACTTCATGCTAAGGCGAGAATGCATTTGTTCACTCAAGATCCGCCGGAGACCTTCCAAACCTGGCTGGAGTTGCCGAGATAGTTTGACTGAAGCATTAAACATATTCAGCAGTATGCTTTTTTCCATCAAAAAGTTATAAGTCTTACAGAAGATTTTGTTGTTAATTGTAGTTCCCTGATGATGTTGTTGTGGCAATATTGTCGGCTGATTCGTTTCGGATTTAAGGGGTAAAGCTCGGGTAAAACTCCCACAGCCAGAGCCAACCTTCTTATCATTCCACGGCCAAATCTCCTTCCCAATATGTCAAGTTTTTCCTCAGATCAGTTTTTATATACCCCGCGTAATCCAACGGCCAACAAACTTGGCATCAACATAGCCAATCCATGATAAGCATGACCAGGAGGGGTACGGGATGTTACCTCACTCCGCTAACTCGCGTATCATTGGTGTTGAGACCTTGAGGGAATTGCCGTGAATGTGGGGTATCAAAGTACGACCATACATTCGAAGATGGGATGCTACTGAGATCATTCTTATCGTTGTGTTTGTAATTTTTGTTTTATTCACTTATTTCTTTCTCAGCGGCTTTTTATTTATCTCCTTGTCTGCTGCTGGCCAACGTTACCTTTGCTCAAGTGTTACAAATTTAAAGATTCCGGGCCTTCTGACTTTCCCGCATCGAGGAACATTGGAAATACAACACCGCAAAGATGACAGACATCGACAAGCATGCGATAAATTCTTCTGGCGATATTGAGAAGACAGGAGAGTTATCTCCTCGAACGACCACCGAAAATGGCGATATGAAAATTCTCCATGCCGATCCAAATGATGGAGATGAGGCTCTAAAAGCATTCGAGGGTCACGATGAACCCATCGTGATGACTCCAGAGATGGAGAAAGCACTTTTAAGAAAAATTGATTTGAATCTGATGCCAGTACGAGTCAATTGATCTGTTATTCCGCATACATCAGCTAATCCATTTCCCAGATGCTGTGCGTTGTTTACGGACTCAATTATCTAGATAAAACGACGCTTTCATACGCAAGCGTCATGGGTCTCCAAAAATCAATACATCTAAAAGGCGATAATTATCAGTGGCTAGGATCCATGTTTTACATTGGCTACCTTTTCTGGGAATACCCAACTAATCGTCTCTTGCAAAGACTTCCTCTCGCAAAATGGTCAGCTTTTAATGTCATTATGTGGGGATTGACACTTTGTTGTATGGCTGCCGTCTCAGACTTCGCTGGTGCTGTCGCTGTCCGTTTCTTTCTGGGTATTTTTGAAGCGGCTGTAACTCCTGGATTCGCACTCTTCACTTCACAGTGGTACACTAGAGAAGAACAAGGTACGAGAACTGGAATCTGGTTTTCTTTCAACGGCTTTGCTCAAATACTCGGAGGAGGGGTCGCGTATGGAATCTCCGTTGGGGTTAAGAAGCATGGAGCCGCCATTGAAAGTTGGAAGATTGTGTTCCTGTCAATTGGATTGTTGACCGCTAGTGTCGGTGTGGTCTTCCTCATATTCATGCCAGATAACCAGTTCAACGCTTGGTTTTTGACGCCCCAGGAGAGATTGATGGCAGTTGAGAGAATCCGAAAAAATCAGCAAGGAGTGGGAAACAAGCATTTCAAGATCCATCAGTTCAAAGAGGCTCTGCTCGATCCTATGACATGGGCATTTGCATTCTTCGCATTTGTAGCAGATATTCCTAATGGTAAGGTTTTTTGGGCTCTTTAGCCGAGAAGTCAACTAACAGAGTTTTCAGGTGGAATTTCCAACTTTTTCTCTCAGCTCATTGTGTCCTTTGGATACACCCCGGATCAATCTTTGCTGTACGGAACTCCTGGTGGCGCGATCGAAGTCGTCGCCCTTATTGCAGCCGGATTTCTAGGCGACAAATACGGTAGAAGGCTTCTTATTGGCACATCAGGAATGCTCATCGCAATGATCGGGATGCTTCTCATCGTCTGTCTGCCACTCTCAGTACCACAAGGTCGCTTGGCAGGATACTATCTTACCCAAGCTTCACCCACTGGATTTGTCGCTCTCTTATCTCTCATCGCCACCAATGTAGCTGGCTACACCAAAAAAACCACTGTTGGAGCGCTTTATCTCATCGCTTACTGTCTTGGAAATATTATTGGTCCCCAAACGTTTAGACCGAAAGATGCTCCCCGTTATGTTCCGGCTGAGATTACTATCATTTGCTGCCTTGCAGTTTGCATTCTTGATCTAATATTCATTCACTTCTATTACGTAAGAATGAATAAGAAGAATGCAGCGAGGAGACTGGCGCCCGGATATCGGAAGTTGGATAAGCAGGAGTTCTTGGATTTGACGGATAGAGAGAATCCTGAGTTTATCTACACATTGTAGTAGTCTCATAATTATGTCGCCAGGACCTACGAGCAATCAAGTCCAAAATTTAATATGAAACCTTAATGGCACGTTTGAAGAAGACAGTGGTGACTTTCCTGAAATCTTGAAATCTAGTATTTTGACGACGCAAATTGCACGTCGTAGGTGCTTTATGTTTTGTGTTGACACCAAGCCTAGAATTGGATATCGATCCCCCTCTACGCTCTGATCTCTGCTCCCTCAAGTTATATCATGGAATACCGTTGTGTGAGGAGAACAAATCATAAACATTCTCAATTTGTCGTTAGTAGGGCCGCCCTTGTTACAAGCTAAATTGAGAAGCAAATAACGAAAAGGCCACTTATAGTCAGTGGCTCCTCCCATCTGCGCTAAACCTAAGCTTTATACGAATATTTAGAGAAAAGATCTCTATATAGTATTATAGATCTATAGTCTCTACCTTTTAGTTCTATATAACAACTACCTACCTAATTATTACTTGTTTGAGAAAGATTTTCAATCTTAGTTCTCTATTCGCCCAAGATAATAAAGTAATATCTATATCTTTGTAATTCCAAGTACATAGTGAGCTACTGGCTAGATAAACTAAACGAATAAAGATTAGCGTAATAGTAAATTATAATAGGTGGTCTATATTCTACCCTATAAACTTTATACACTATATTCTATAAAATAGCTCTACCATCTAAATCTAAACTCTATAAAAGATATCTCCTTCTCCAATCTCCTCTTTACTTGAAATTCTATCTCCGTCCTAATATCCTGATTCCAAAAGTTCTTTTTATAAACCTACCCCTTATCCCCACTTCTCCTTACCATCGTTCAACAAGCCGAAAAACTAAAAACCTCTAAAGAAAACTCATAATTTCATTTCTTCCATATATCTAGATAGATATTGTGCTAAAAGGTTAATGGTACTGTGTCACATGGCTGAGACTTGAACATACCAATCGCGATGTGCAACAAAATATATCGATTGGCGCAAGAAGACTTGAACAAATCGCGATGTGCAACAAAATACGTGAATGGCGTCGTATGTATACGTACCGCTGTGGGGTTCTTGATACTCAGAGTGCTGAGGGAGAAGGGTGGTTAGTAGGTTGTATAATGTTAATTTTAGTATAAATTGTATAATATTGCGGGTTTACAAAGTTGATCTGATCAGAGGAAATGATATGGAAGAGATATCAAGCGATGGAAACTGGGTTGTACTAAATGTAAAGGAGAAGCTCACTTGTAAGCAAACAACAACGTAGAACACAAGAGCAGACAATGAGAACCCAAGACATCGAACTTTATCATGTATCTCTATGAGTATAAACTGGCTATATCCAAAAGACAATCCATAAAGAAAGGCCCATAGGTGCACAACCAAACCGCTCCGACGTTTTCACCCCCAAAATTAATAAGCAATGTCTAAGGCAGACAGAACCCCCCATCAACAATGATGTCCGCGCCAGTGGTATAACTCGAAGCATCGGAAGAAAGATACAGGAAAGCACCCTTGAGCTCATGGCACTCACCTTCTCTACCCATCGGTGTCTTTTCTCTCCAGACATTCTTCATGTCGCCCGGAGCGAAACTCGAGATCTCGGTTACGATGTATCCAGGCGATACCGTGTTTGCTCGTGCGAAACCGACCCATTCAACCGCTAGCGACTTGCCTATAATTCCCAAGGTAAGTAAAACATTGGCGAAACATGGGGAGTCGAAAATTAATAGTAACGTACATAGATGAATGACACCCGCTTTTGCAGCATTGTATGCAGCTTGCATTTGAGGGATATTAACAATGGATCCACTCATACTGGCCGTCGCGACATAGCTTCCCTCTCGAAACGCTGGTTCAAGTGGGTTCCCATCAATTGTAGTTTGCTCAATCTTTTGTCGTTTCCAGTGTATAGCTGCAACACGGGCGCAGTAAAATACGCTGTCCATATCGGTTTCCATAACCTTTTTGTAGTGTTTGAGCTGAGAGCTGGTCTCTCCATCTACCATTGGCCCTTGCGTCCATGGAATCCCAGAATTGGCCACGAAAACATCAAGACGTCCATTGAATTCTCGGATAATTGACTCGATTGTTGCGGCGATTGCTTCGTAGGAGGTAACGTCGACTTGGTAGGCTTTGCCTGTCGTGAGTTTACTGTTAGTTCATGCGCTCCAATCAAATAGCGGGGGAGGGGACAGAAAAAAACACCCCCATAGTGGGGGAGAAGTAACGTGGCCTTTCTTACATTTCACTCCGTACTGCTTCTCAATTGTCGCCGCTTCCTCAATGGCCTTTTTGTTGCTGTTGTACCAAATTGCAACGTTTGCTCCAGCTTCTGCTAAGGCTTCGGCTACTGCCAGCCCTATACCAGCTCCAGCTCCAGAAACAATTGCTGTTCGGCCTTTCAGAGAGAATAGAGAGAATACACTCTTAGTACTTGGGGCTGTTGTGTTGTCGAGAGTGAAATTGCCTCCGTTCATGGCGGGACCTGCCATCTTGAAGTTTTATAATGTTATTGAGGGGTGATTTGGGCACGAAGTTTAGGGCAAAGGTCGGACAGATTCTTGCTGGTTGGATTTTGGTCTGCTTTCAGGAGACATAATAATCATGGGGAAAAGGCCCTATTTGAACTCATTGCCGGGTAGACCCGGATTATCGGGGGAGGAGACCACTGTTGAAGGCATCGGGACATCAAAGTGCGGTGGATGCATATGTCGAGTTGTTGGTACAGGGGATGATTGAGGGATATATGATATATCTTTAGGCTCGGAAGAACCCAGTATGCAAACGGGAAGGGTGTAAAGTTTGAATGGGATTTAGAACGTAAGAAGGATCAAGCACAGAATGAGCAGACGAAAAGAACCGACTGGGGTGGACATGACAACAGCTCTGGAGCCAATGGGGTAAATTGTTTCCTGCAAGATCTGTGGCACCCAAGCACAACATCAATCTAGAAACACTTTTCGTAGGTAGCGTACATGTACAACGTACGTACAGAATGTGATAAACTGGTTCATGATCACTATTCGTGATGTATAAGGATAGACTGTTGAATGAATTCTGTGGAAAGAATGCGGCCTGGAGGTTGACTCTCTTTCCAAGTACTCGTACGAGTATTGGAGGGGTAATGGAGGGGCAGAAAAAGAAGCTTTACGAGTACAGCTTGTGACATTCGGGAAATGCCTGTGAAAGCTCCTTCTGCAGTCAGCCCCATCAGTCGTAGACATGTACACAGACACCAGATCCTGCAGGTTGCTTTGGGTAAGATGATAAAGCAGGTGTTACCATATACAGGTACAAATCCGGGCGCGGTGGACCCAATGATGCTGATTTTGCACGTATGAGCTTGAAGGAGGCGAGCGAGGGACAAAAATATATGCAGATAACGGTAAGTCGGCGCTGTGCTCCGTATATGGCGGCGATACCTGTAAATGGACTAGCTTTCGGACTTATTAACCCAACTCCCCAACCACGCCACCCTACATAGGGGTACCTAGATAGGCATTTTCTTCACCACCAACATCCAATCAACATCTGCACCAACACCATCTCCAGTTCCACATATAAACATCTCGAGAAACATATAAGCAAGATGTTGCGAAATACTGTACCAGGCATTCGCGGACCAACGAGGTTGAATTGAGACCAGCTGTTATAGTTTTGCATAATTCAGCTCCACCATTCTCCTCTCTACTACCATCAGTACAGTCATGGCTTAGATTGCTACCTTACCCATCACAGTATTGTGGCATTCCTAGATACCTTTTTTGACAATCCTTCTTTCGTCATGTGTTCCGTCAGTGTGGACAACCAATGGGCCCTCCTTTCAAGGCAAGGGCGGGAATGTTGTCCAATATTCTAGCATTCCAATCCAAGGGGCTCTTGCGTACCTTTGCCTGCTCCGTTCCCATTCTCTTCCATCGCATGCTCAACTCGTCACGCTACTGCGCGTTGTTATGATGCTTCATTTTCAGTCTCTACCGTCATAACTTTTGCTTTTTAGCCGTTTGCGTTTCCTTCCCCCCAAGAAAATTTCGAATCCGAGGAGTGGAAAGATAGCACAACTGCCACAAGAACATCTCTTTCTTCCTCCGACTATACGCCTGTCTTTTTCAGCTTTCTCATCAATGTTTTATCCAGACCGCGAAAGTCTTGCTGTTTGTTGAGAAGGGAACAATGTCTGTGTTAAAGAACATATGCCCAAGGTACTCCGAAGAGTGCGAGAAAACTTTCTCTCAAATTGGTGCTCGAGATATGGGGTCCAAGGCGGGCCCAGGAGAGATGGGGGCCATGATAGGTATCGTAGTCGCTGCGGCCATTGTTCTCTTGGTTGCTCTTGTGCTGCTTGGTAGGTTGTTTGCGCGCCAAAGCGATCGTCGAAAGCGAAAAAAGATCGCGGAGGAGATTCAAGCAAATGAAGAACAAACGAATTTTGAGTCGGCCTTGGATGCTACTGGTCCATCGGGAAATAATTTGACTCGAAGTGTTTGCAGTGTTCTTGCCTTCTACGGTGGTAACGATGATGTGGAGAGAGGACAGGTCATTCGAGAACTTTCAATGGCTAAGGTCAGGACATCTTCAGAGAGCAAGCATCATTTTCGAATAGCAGTCCGGGATTCGTGGCCGCTGGCAAATATCCCAATGTCACTGCTACCAGGACAACAATTGACAATGACTTTAAATCAAGTTGCTCCTCCTGGTTATGTAGTACAGCCAGATTCGAAATGGCCTAGAAGGAATTCTTCACGATCTTCGAGGTCATCAAAAAATTCCAGCATCAAAGTAGCTGTCCACTCGCCCGAGCGATCATTCCCCCAACTATCTTCTTCGCCTATCAAATCCCTATCTAAGAGACGCAGAAATCAACGTCGATCAACTTCGGAAACTCAACTGACCAGAATACTCAGATCAACTTCGCAGCGCTTGGAGGCAGCACAAAAGCAGACACTCACTAGAACTTTAACCACCTTTTCGAAATTCCCTGGTTCACCCCCTAAGGACCCATTACCAACCCCACCACTCAAGAACCAGAATGAGAGTTCTGAGGTTCTTATCGGGACGAGTTTTTTTGAGTCGCCAGGAAGTTCGGTGTATGAAGCTTACATGGCAAGAACTCCATCGACCGGGAAAGCAGATGAAAAACATGTTTCCGACAAGAGGGACAAATCTGCAACTTCTTCCGTTGTGTCAGACGATAGCTTGTGTGAAATGGCTGCACCGGATTTGGTTATTCCCGGTCTGCTAACATCACCAAGTAAACAAAGTAAGACGGCGCCACAGAAGGAAGCGACCACAGGAGATATATCGATTGCGGAGGACGATCCCAAAAAGGAGGCTGTTGTAGTCGCACAAAAGTACCGCATGATAATCTCCAATTTCGACACAACATCGATGCAAAACAAAAAAAGTCGTGTATCCACAACAGCATTTGGCAAGCATCGTTCGTTCCAGAACATCAATTCCGAACCACATCGCATTTCATTAGCTGGCGATCCTTTTTATTCGCAAGTGAAGAGTTCGAAGCCCGTTTTTCCCAAAACAGATCTACAGGGTCCAAGACCGCTTTACGTTCGAAAGGCAACATTTGGCCAGGAAGCTACCACAGAAAGGCCTCCTAGTTATACATCACCGCTACGTGATATTTCAGGAAATGCTCAGGGTCCTTTGAAAGCGCTAGAACAGCAATCATTGCCTTCGCCCAACGACGCTGACCGAAATCCTTTCCAGTGGTCACCTCAGGAAGCAATGCAAGAACGACCGAGGCAGTCAAGCCCCAAGAGGAATGGATCAAAGAGAAAGGGCCATAAAAGATCCAATGTTATTAGAATGTCCAATTTGTCATCCAGGCCGCAAAGTGTTTTGAGTGTGGACGTGGTTCCCGAAGAACCAGAAGAAGATCCATCAATTTTGGAATTCAATATACCAAAAACGGCTCCCCTTCGATTGATATCTCCAAGCAAGAGTCCAAGTCCTTCACCGTCCACTGTCTCTCGAAGGCTCAGCGGCAGACCGCCATCCATCCCAACTTTCAATCCCATGCTCACAATCCCGGATCTCACGACTCCACTGTCGAAGGAAGATAACTCGGATGCAGAGAACAATTCTCCCACGGCATCGTCTCCCACACTTTCTGTGTCTAGTTTCTATCTGAGGGACTCTGTTGGTGCAAAAGGGGGTTTTGCCGGAATTAAAGAGTCCGCAAAATTTCATCGAACAAACCAATACCATGGTCGTAATCATTCTGTTTCTGAGCGACCACCGGATATTCCACCCCGAGCTAAGAACCATCGATACTCTGTAGATGCAGTTCTTCGATCCCCTGATCCTCAAAAGCTGACATCCTTTCCCCCGCCCGTTTTGTCTCCCAAACTCACATCTCCCAAAATTGCACTCCCACGACCACCATCGAACATTATTGTCTCCCCTTCTTCTCTCAGCGCATCTTCGCCCACACTTCTTGCTCCGCCGCTCCTCACCATACCGATTCCAGGACATCTCACAGGACCTCGCAATCAGCCAAATAAGTCGGGGTCACAATCACCCCCCCGAGATTCGCTTGCCATGTCAATATGCATGCTTCGGCGTATGAAGTCCGAGGTCTCCCACTACAGCAACGGAGGTAGTGATACCAGCCCAGGCCTTAGTCCCGAACTTCCATTCCCTCGAAAAGTTGCTTCAGTCTCATATAGTCCCAGCGTCAAAGAATCCAGCGACATTTCCCGCGCTCGATCCAGAGGATCAAAACACTACCTCTCCCTTTGTCCCACCGAACATCGTCGAGGGCGAGCGACAATTGGTCATTCTGGTTCCATGAAGCGTAGTTCTCATCCTCTTGGTATCAGAGGCGCCAGAGATTCTCAAGACATGTTCAACGACTATAGTAGGAGGAGAATGCACAATACCGATTTTACTGAAGTAGAGCTCAAGACCGTCAGAGAAGCCGCATCTCCACCCATGTCCTCCAACTCGCCTAACGCTTTGAACTTCCAATTCCCAGTCCTCACAAGAGATGGATCGATGGAAGACGAGGAGACGCCATCGAAGAGTAAACGTTGGAGCGATGCGATGCCTAAACCGGCTGTTAATGCCGTGAGGAGGGAGAGTCAGATGGAGTATCCTAGTCCGAAGACGCCGCCTATTATCAAGTGGAACAGCGAGGATTTCGCTGTTGAGTTAGATGCAAAGAGTCCCAGTGTTGGAACTCGACTTACGGGGGATGGAAGGGGTAATGGGCGGGAAGGCAAAAGAAAGGGAAGACCGGAGAGTTTGGGGTTGTATGATGAGGATGGGTTTTTGAGGAGTTCGCCTTTCAAGATCGTGGAGAGTCCTGGGGGTAATTAGGTATTAGATTGGTTCCCATTGTCAATGTGATTTGAGACAGTGTGTTTGTTTGAGTGTTTTTATATTTTGTTGCTCGGCGGCGGTTTGGTGGAAAGATTCGTGTCCAGGGCTTGAGCTGATCATTTTGTCGGGGTTTTCACTCTTTACTTTGGGGAGGCGCTATTTTGAGATATCCAGTTTTTCCTTCTTTCTTCCTTTTCGACTGGTTTTTTATTCATATATCCTGCGGTGGTGTTTATATCTGATAACGTACTTCATAAGGAGTCCGGATTTATAAGGAGTCCGGATTTTTTACCCCACCATTGACCACCCTACACACTTTCAATTTACATAACTTACCCAATTATTGTTCAAATGTCTCTAAAAGAAGGTCAATTTGCTCTTGCAATCAGTGCATACAATAAGGGTCAATTTACAAGCTTAAAAGCAGCTTGTACAAGGTACGATGCGCCATATTCTAGTACTTACGACCGCGTCAAGGGAGCTATTCCACAACGCGATTTCCGACCCCGAAACCAGAAACTCGCCGACCTCGAGGAATCAGCACTTATACAATGGATGTTATCAATGGAAGCTAAAGGTCTGCCAGTACGGAAAGATTCGATACGCCAAATGGCCGATTTACTACTGGAAAAGCGAACTGGAGTAGGTCGAATTATTGTCGGAAAATGCTGGGTTGACAACTTTATAAAGCGCCACGACTCTTTACGGACGAAATACACTCGTAAATACGACTATAAGCGCGCAAAATGCGAGGATCCTACGATTATCCGAGATTGGTTTCGATTAGTACATAATATTGTTGCGAAATATGGTATACTAGCGGAGGATATATACAATTTCGACGAGACTGGCTTTCAGATGGGAGTAATTGCGACCGCAAAAGTTGTTACAGGGTCAGAATATACAGGACGGGCTATTCATATACAACCAGGGAATCGCGAATGGGTTACAGTTGTCGAATCAATTTGTGCAGATGGATGGGTGTTGCCTCCAATGGTTATATTTGAGGGCAAGGTGCATATATCGACTTGATATACAGATCAATTACCAGCAGATTGGACAATTGCACTTAGTGATAAAGGGTGGACCAATGATTCCTTAGGTCTTAAGTGGCTTTCAGACGTATTTGAGAAATATACCAAGGACCGTGTAAAAGGAGTATATCGACTTTTAATCCTCGATGGCCATGGTAGTCATTCTACTCCCGAATTCGATCTTTTCTGTTCAGAACATAACATCATAACGCTTTGTATGCCACCGCACTCATCTCATCTTTTACAGCCATTAGATGTTAGTTGCTTTGCAGTTTTAAAGCGACTTTATGGACGAGGAGTCGAGGAGCTAGTACGAGCCGGCACATATCATATCGATAAACCAGACTTCCTTTCAATATATCGTGTAGCCCGTACAAGTACTATGGTCAAAAACACAATCTGTAATGGATTCGCAACTACTGGCCTTGTCCCGTACAACCCAGATCAAGTATTGAGTAAATTACATACTCAATTACATACGCCTACTCCTCCTTTACTTTCTCCAAACCTACTACCTTGGGTCCCTGAGACACCCCATAATACATATGAGGCAGATCAGCAAACCCAGACAATTAAAGCATCTATTAAACGACGTACAAACGTTCTCTCAAGCCCTACTGCTATTGCATTAGATCAATTGGTTAAAGGGTGTAAGATGGCTATGCAATCAGCTACGGTTTTGGCAGAGGAAAATCGACGTTTACGAGCTGAATCTGAACGTCAAAAGAAGAAGAAGACTGTGCGACGTCAATATATTGCTACTGGGGGTGTTCTTACAGGTCAGGAAGGGAGGGAACTTATTCAAAATAGTGATAATATGGTTTTGGATGAAGCTGTGGCCCCGCTAATTGAACCACGAATTCGTGCACCACGAACCTGTAGTATATGTAGATCACTAGCGCATACTGCTCCTAGGTGCCCAGATCGAGAATAATAAAGATAGTATAGTTTATATAAATAAATATTAAGTGGTTAAAGTTCTATGGTTTTTAAAAGTTGGATGGTGGGGTAAAAAATCCGGACTGCTTATAAATCCGGACTCCTTATGAAGTACGTTAATGTTACGGGTGGTTTAGTTAGGGTTATAGGCGCGCGCGGGGTATATGCCCGTGGGCGCCGAGCGTAGGCCGGGAGTCCCTTACTACCCACCCTGCTTACGTAATTATATATACACCCTAGATTAGGATTTAGGACGGGTTTAGGACAGTCCTAGGACGGTCTCGGAACGCGATATAGAACTATTTATTTATTAAACTATTTAATAATTAAATTATCTTATATCTAAGACTATTCTTGGACCGCCCTCCTCCCATTAGCCGGTGGTTTTTTTCCTAGGACTAGATTCTATATAAGATACTCTAGTAAGAGTCTGTAGATAGTCTAAAAAAACTCCGCTTTCCCCTCTAAGGTAGATAGCGTTCGATAACTAGAATTCTATTCTATACTAGACCCCCCCTTAGTATATACTATTTTATATAGGGTAGTTCTATAGTATACTATAGAATAAATTTATATAACCCGGAGTAAAGTTTCCGAAAACTAATAGAAATCCTAGGGCTCTAGCGTACGTATCCTACTCTTCGAGTAAGATACGTAAAGTTATTAAGGTTCTTAACCCCGCCGCTAGCTCTTATTAGTTATTTATCCTTATATAATATAAAAATATCCCCTTTACTTAGCGCCGAGAGAAAATAAATACTTAGTGTTATAAAAAAGCTAATAGCTCGTTACGTGTTCTAGAACTCTATAACTCTATAGAATTCTAGGGCCTATTTAATAGAAATAAGTAAGTTATACTTTAATTACTTTATTTTATTATATATTTTAATAAAATAAGTTAAAGCTATATATATAATCTTTTTACGCACTTTACAACTACTAGTGTTATAATTAAGAGGCGTAAAACTTCTTTTAGACTATTCATTCACTAGTTGCGTGACCATTGTCCCCTGGGAGTGCTCGCCTAAAATCGGCTAATGAAAAGGGGTTGTTTACATCTAGACCAATGACAGGGATCAAGCCCCACAAACGCTCTCTCTCAGTCCTCTGAACTTTTTCTTACCTATGTCTTCTCGTCGCGAACACAAAGACCTCTTTTCTACCCTCCTACGCCAACATTTTACCACCATGAAGCTGCGCAGTGGAAAAGAGACGGCCGCAAGGCCCTGTATACTCTACAAGCTTGCCCCAGAGACGCTGAAGAACATCTACAGATACTACCTCCAACTGGATGAACGCGTGGACGTGCTTACTGTGCGTGACACCAGTCTGATTGCAGCTCTACGACCTTGTGAGGACCTGTATCATGGAATTCTGGCCTACAGCTATGAAAAGCACCTCATGAAACTTCGCCCTCATCTAGAAAGCCACAGACGACAATTTCTTGCGATGAAACCTGATGTGTTTGCTCTGGTAAAGAATCTTCATATTGACCTAGGGTAAGCTATTCCATCCTTCGAAACTTACAGGAATACCTGCCTCACTAATATCCACCCAGCACCGCTCAATCAGTACAAGAAATCATGATTGCAGATCCCCTCTTCTTTACAAACGCCCTTGCGAAACTCCTCCAGCATGGTCATCTTCAAGCCCTTGGAATTGCACTTGAGTTTCAGCACACACAATTCCTTTATCCTCCCGCTCCTCAACCACTTCCTGGATCCCAAATACCAAGGTCTGCGAGAACTCTTCATCGATATGCCCAATAGAGATACGGATTCAACTATTGTGTACCATGGGGGCTACACGAATAACGAGGTGGTTCTCATGAGGGGGGCTGCCAACAGTATTAGCGATATGGTCAGGAATGTGCGATACGATGAACCGGGACTGTGGTGGTTTCGAGTCCATCAGCAGCTTTTTGAGGGAGCAACTCCGCGCCGTATCCATTGGGTACTTTACGAGAAGGGTCGTCCGGCTCAGGGTGCGAAGAAGCCGGTACGAAGATGGGAGTAGTGTTGAATGAAGACTACGTCGGGATTGATTGACGGATCACGATCACAAAATTGGGTCAGCACCAAGCTGTTATGGAATGTTTCAGGACTCCATTGTCTGTTCCTAAGGTTGAAATGGCGGTGGTTTATCTTGAGTATGAGAATTTGGGGAGATATGGTGCATATGGAGCCAGTATACGTACCAGAGTGGTTTTGTACCCCTTGCCGCATGAATCTCACCACCTACTGTGAAGAAAAAATGGAACACGCTTCTCTGTGATTGTCTCAATTCCACTAAAGTATGAAATTTTAAGTGATTATTCTCCCATCCACCTCGCACCTCCCATTTCCTCAATACATCGAGGGACCCTCCTCAAACCCGCCTCTATCATAAACCCCCATCAAAGAAACTTGAATCCATTACACAATAATCCATCAAACACCTCTGAACCCTCTAAGCAACTTTAATGCATCCTCTCCTCTCTTCCATCCTGCCAAGAAGTACAGTTCACACATCTAACAGCCTGTCCAAAGTCAGCAAAAGCCCCCTTGAGAAAAGAATATGAAAGCAGCCAGGAAGGGAAGTCACTTGCTCTAGCACTAATCCTCTTGCGACAATATTTACACTTAACAGTATGTTTAATAATCGGCTCACTTCCATCCCAGCGATCATAGATAGCAGCTACAATATACAGCGCCAATCCGACACCAAAGAAATTGAGAAGTTTATTGATGAAAGCACTTTTTCCGATGGTTAGCATTTCTTTTCACTTTTGATGTGCATGTCCCAACTTATAACAGATCATATGGTAGATTCTAAATCACGTCGGGAGGCAGGAGAAGGGAGAGGAAGAAGAGATGCACTAACCCGTAGGCCATAACGACAGCACCATCAGCCGTCGCCTGATCGAGCGTGTTATACCCATGACCCCCATGCGTACTGTTATAATGGGGTCCTCTCTTCAACACAGCGAATTTCTCATCGAGATTCTTGTGCACGAAGGGGAGAAGTGAGAGAGGGGGGAGCAGAATCTCGGAGACGAAGGAGGTCACTACTGTTGTAAAGGCCGCTGCTATACTAAAATATTGTGAGCTTGCTTATCATAAGATTTTGTGTAGTGAAGATTGGTTTTATTTTCTGGCATTACATGAGATGAGAGAGCAAAGGTGATGGACAGGGTAGGTGATTATGCTGGGAACTGAGTGAGGGAGGAATAAGGAATAGGGAAGACATACATCAAACCAACAGCAACCTCAAGAACATTATCCTGCAACGCGAAATCCGTGAACCCCTCCCACATCTTCTTCGCACCACCCACTACTTCCTCCCCTGCCCTCCCAAGGAGCTCTTGGCTATCTGATAGTTGAATAGGCATTTTTCTTAACAGTATTTCCTCAGATCAAGACAAAAGTATTTCCCATAACCCTCGACGTTCGAGCGTTGAATGCTGAGTCTTATAAAGATAGGCGCGCTAAGGTCGGTTATCGTGATGTGTTTTCGTGTGGGTATGAGACGTGGTGTTTGTTGTTGATGCCCGATCTTGGCTTGAGCGTCTAGCCTCAAAAATGACACCCGAGAGACAACTATGAGAGCTTCAAGGAACTGGTCTGCATCCAGTCACAACTAAGGCAAGGAAGAAACCAGATATTGAATTGTCGAGGTGTGAAATGAATATTGAGGTCGTGAGCAGAGTTTGATGAAGATGACCGTGACCCACTTCGCTCGTACACAAGGGGGCACGGACGGACAGGGATTGTAGCTATAGATACTTGGAGCTTTTGATTCACTTACTTGTTTTCTGAACTTGTAATAGATATTTCAACTCTCATTTATTTTACTTTCCCTGTGATGCAAAAGAACGCCGGCAACATCGGAACGATTTGTCGGTGGAGAGAATGTATTGGAGTAGGTAGAATATCAGTCACGTGAGAGGGTGAATCTTGATTGAGTGGAAGCAATTACTATTAAATAATAAAGAAGAGCTAACGTACTTCATAAGGAGTCCGGATTTATAAGCAGTCCGGATTTTTTACCCCACCATCCAACTTTTAAAAACCATAGAACTTTAACCACTTAATATTTATTTATATAAACTATACTATCTTTCTTATTCTCGATCTGGGCACCTAGGAGCAGTATGCGCTAGTGATCTACATATACTACAGGTTCGTGGTGCACGAATTCGTGGTTCAATTAGCGGGGCCACAGCTTCATCCAAAACCATATTATCACTATTTTGAATAAGTTCCCTCCCTTCCTGACCTGTAAGAACACCCCCAGTAGCAATATATTGACGTCGCACAGTCTTCTTCTTCTTTTGACGTTCAGATTCAGCTCGTAAACGTCGATTTTCCTCTGCCAAAACCGTAGCTGATTGCATAGCCATCTTACACCCTTTAACCAATTGATCTAATGCAATAGCAGTAGGGCTTGAGAGAACGTTTGTACGTCGTTTAATAGATGCTTTAATTGTCTGGGTTTGCTGATCTGCCTCATATGTATTATGGGGTGTCTCAGGGACCCAAGGTAGTAGGTTTGGAGAAAGTAAAGGAGGAGTAGGCGTATGTAATTGAGTATGTAATTTACTCAATACTTGATCTGGGTTGTACGGGACAAGGCCAGTAGTTGCGAATCCATTACAGATTGTGTTTTTGACCATAGTGCTTGTACGGGCTACACGATATATTGAAAGGAAGTCTGGTTTATCGATATGATATGTGCCGGCTCGTACTAGCTCCTCGACTCCTCGTCCATAAAGTCGCTTTAAAACTGCAAAGCAACTAACATCTAATGGCTGTAAAAGATGAGATGAGTGCGGTGGCATACAAAGCGTTATGATGTTATGTTCTGAACAGAAAAGATCGAATTCGGGAGTAGAATGACTACCATGGCCATCGAGGATTAAAAGTCGATATACTCCTTTTACACGGTCCTTGGTATATTTCTCAAATACGTCTGAAAGCCACTTAAGACCTAAGGAATCATTGGTCCACCCTTTATCACTAAGTGCAATTGTCCAATCTGCTGGTAATTGATCTGTATACCAAGTCGATATATGCACCTTGCCCTCAAATATAACCATTGGAGGCAACATCCATCCATCTGCACAAATTGATTCGACAACTGTAACCCATTCGCGATTCCCTGGTTGTATATGAATAGCCCGTCCTGTATATTCTGACCCTGTAACAACTTTTGCGGTCGCAATTACTCCCATCTGAAAGCCAGTCTCGTCGAAATTGTATATATCCTCCGCTAGTATACCATATTTCGCAACAATATTATGTACTAATCGAAACCAATCTCGGATAATCGTAGGATCCTCGCATTTTGCGCGCTTATAGTCGTATTTACGAGTGTATTTCGTCCGTAAAGAGTCGTGGCGCTTTATAAAGTTGTCAACCCAGCATTTTCCGACAATAATTCGACCTACTTCAGTTCGCTTTTCCAGTAGTAAATCGGCCATTTGGCGTATCGAATCTTTCCGTACTGGCAGACCTCTAGCTTCCATTGATAACATCCATTGTATAAGTGCTGATTCCTCGAGGTCGGTGAGTTTCTGGTTTCGGGGTCGGAAATCGCGTTGTGGAATAGCTCCCTTGACGCGGTCGTAAGTAGTAGAATATGGCGCATCGTACCTTGTACAAGCTGCTTTTAAGCTTGTAAATTGACCCTTATTGTATGCACTGATTGCAAGAGCAATTTGACCTTCTTTTCGAGACATTTGAACAATAATTGGGTAAGTTATGTAGATTGAAAGTGTGTAGGGTGGTCAATGGTGGGGTAAAAAATCCGGACTGCTTATAAATCCGGACTCCTTATGAAGTACGTTATATGTTATACCGCCTATAATACGCGCCCGTTAAATTTCGCTGAATCAACTGAATTTAACACTTATATTTTAATAGCGTTAGGGTTAAGCGTATAGGAGTACTACCGACTATATAATATAGCCTATACGCTACGGCTTTACGCCCTATATACGGCTCTATGTAACGAATACTCAAACTGGCTAACTAAACTTGGCTGGGTGTTCGCTGGTTGGTATGCTATGATAAGAAGAAGACTATCGGGTTGTTCACTTGGAAGTGAACTCGTTACTTGTATCAAAGATGTCAAACTAATATGATAAGATTGATAACTAAGTTGAGCACGAAGCTCCTATCTAATGGCAGACGTGCCAGTATTATATAGAACCCTCGTTCCCATGGTCGCCATGGTCGAACAGTCGCCCATGGCCGACACGGTCGACTCGTCGGCCATGTCGCTGGTCACGTGATTCAAACCCAAGGAAATCCCTGGATCGCTTAGCTAGCCCTAACGATCCCTTATTTGCTATAAGTCTATAGATGTGCTTGACCTGTCAGGACGCCGCCTGGTCTTCACTTATCACGTGTGCACGTGATTCGTGACACTCTACGCGGGCACTTTTTCGCCGCGTCTAGGAGTGTCCCAAGAGCGTCCCTAGAACCGTCCCTAAATAAAAGACCGACCTCCTCCTATTACCTAGCGGGTTTTTTCCTAGGACTATATTCTATTTAAGACCCTTATATAAGAGTCTCTAGATAGTCTAAAAAACTCCGCTTTCCCCTTGTGACGGAGCTGGATTTCATTTGACAGGATTTCATTCGCTTGGCCAAGCACGTGACGAGACTTGGCATTGGAACAACTTAAATAACTTCGCTCCTTTCAGATTCTCTTCTCTCTTTAGTTTGATTTCTTCGTACCTACGGTTTTAGTTCTAGCAATTGATTCAAAAGCTGTATACACTTTATCCTTTGTTGGCATCCGTGACAAGTGCTACTTAACTATCTACAGTGCCCTGGTTTCCGAAATTTACCCGACACCAAGCCTCGAATTCACTGAATCAAATCTGTTACAATAAGTCGTCTTTAGTAGTATCCTTATCCTTAGATACCTTGTTTATTAAGCTATTCTTTTAAGCCTTCTTTTACTTCCTATATTTCTTACGTAATTTACTATCTTTACTACTATAGCATATCTTATAGAGTTTAACCTAAGCTATTAAATCCTAGCTTTATTCTATAGTAATAGAGTTACCTACGTTTTATTACTAATTTAGTATAGAATTAATTAAAATACCCGCTTATTTAAGTATTAAGTTATCTATATCTTTAGGTTCTATAGTATTAGAATTAGTCGAATCGTTAGTCTCTAGTTTATTAAACTCCGAATCCTCCGAAGGATTATACTTATCGGAATCCTTTTAACATTTAGAATAACTATATTTACTAGTAGCTATCTTCTTACGATTAAGCTTAACTATAACGTTATCGTAAGAAAAGCTCTTCTTTTTCTATAGCTTCGCTTTAGGGTATTTCTTTATATATATTAGAACTATCTATAAAAAGAAAGAATTGTAGTTTACCTTAATATAATTATCCTAGATAGGTTTAGTAGTAGTTATAATAGAGCGATCCTTATCCTATCTAAACCTAGAGTTCTTATATAATTTATATATAACCTTAGAATCCTAAGTTAAATTCAAGTATTTAGCCTAATAAGTATAGCCTTGTTTTATAGGTTTATATTAACGTCCGAGTTAATTTTATAGTCTCTCTAGAAAGTTGCCTTCTATTACTTTACTATCTTCTCTCTTCTTACGAATAAACTCTAATAAAGTAAAGATATTATCCTCCGACTAGGTAGTATATACCCTTCTTAATAAACTAGTAGCTTAAGTAGCTTATGTTACTTACGCTACTTGAGTTACTTACGTAGGTTATTCTAAAGGGAGTATTTGAGTAGAGTCTATTATAGGGTCGTTAGATAAGTCCTAGGATAATACTCTTAGTAGTATAGGAACCTAAGCTTTCTTTTTATAACCTATATTATATAGATAAAAGATAGATTAAAGTTAGATAATACAAATAAGAAGTACTATAAAGAATAGGAACGTTACTTATGTAAGTACTCGAGTAGTAGAACTAACTAAATTATAGTAGTAGACTAAAATTTAGTAGTACTAAGAGCTAGTTCGTAAATCGTCGAATATATAACAAAGTAAAAAAAACTTATACGATAAGCTAAATAGTAGTGTAGTATATTTGTTTTATTAGATTAGTATAAATTGTATATAAAACTAGAAAGATATATACGGGGTCTTAGGGTCATAGAAAAAGTAGTAAAGTTTCGAATTTGCACCTAATATGCACGCCCAACTTATGCGAGCCAAACAGGCCCTTAGATATATTCGCTACAACACCACACTCCCTTAGACCCCATACGCAATATAACCAAATGAAGTTGTACCGTATCCCATCACTTCGCTAGTGATACCAATAGTACTCGCTTACAAAAGCCTTGGTATTACCTACCTGTTATATAGGCGCTGTTATAGACTAGTTGTCTGAGTGTGAAGAAAGAAGACGAGAGGGTAGAAGGGAGAGCGAGAATAGGTGAGTAATAACAAATCATAGCGCTACCCGTGCGCTTCTGGTCTCTTTAGGGAGGCAGTATTAGCAGCTAGGACTAACTGACACTCATTAGAATATTTCTCCCGCCTCTGTCCTTCTCCCTTGTATAGAATCTGCCCCCCAGTATATCGTTTAGAAAAGAGAGAGCTAGAGAGAGAAAAAGGGGGAGCGGGAGAGAGACTGTGTTTCTCTCTTCTAAAGAACACGCTAGTGGAAAGTTCTGTAGAGCAATAAGTATTTGACAATGAGGTATATAGGCGAAAATGCCCAGGCATGTGAAGTCTAAGAGTGTTAGTGGATGGGGGTGATAGGTACAATAGTAATAGTAAGTATACAACTTTTTCGACCGGTAGTTTGCGGGTTTGTCATCCGATTTAGTTGTAGATTCAGGATACCGTATGCGTACACTTGGGATCCCGAGCAAGGCAATGTCTGTTTGGGTTTTGGCAAGAATACAAATTGCTAAGTAAAGATCTTCCTAGCTACCCTAGCTACCCTAACTACCCTAGTAAGTCGATGATGTTTCAATAACATCGTTTGAAGAAACATTATTCATGAATAATCTCAATATCTTATCAAGATCGGAATTTGGTGGGGTAGACACAAATCATAGAGCTCTCCTGACACTCTCTGTGCCGCATGAATATCTAAACTAATCGTCCTCATCGTAATTCCAGTTAGGCTACCAAAAGATACTCGTGCGAGGATATACTGGGCCATGGTGAGAATGGAGTCCCCAGTGGATAGATAGAAGACCAGGGTAACTTTCAATTTTGTTCTCCACGACCCATCCTTTCTTTCTATCTTTCACGACTCTTCCCAACCCTAGCCAGACCCAATTCGCAAACTCCAACAGACGATCGTTAGTGCCACCGCTGTCGGAAACACCGGGTAAGACCGGTTCATTTCGGTCTTCCAAGTGAATACACATCTCACGGAGCGCGTTTTCCTTTCTAGAGTCTCTAGACTTCAGGATATTGGAAATAATAGAGTGGCAGAAAACATCATCCTTCTCCGACAGCGGGATTGTCAAGGATAAGGCGCGTATATTCTTTGCGTAGGAGAGTTGACTGAGCATCTTCATACACATTTCCGACGGATCGGCGTTACGGAACCAACCGGGATGCTGTTCTGGGCTGATGATTGTGTGTAAGTGAGCGGATCTTGCGTAGTAAAATATAGGCGAACTTACCACAAACAAATACTCAAGTTCTTCACCATGCTCAGTGTAGCAGGGCAAAGAGAGAAGAATTGCTCAGACTCGGAGTCCTCAAATAGAAGCCTCGCCCGCTGATTATCGTATGCGAATGCCAGTAGTTCATCATATAGGTATCTGCAAGGTCTCAATGCTGCCACAAGACTTGACGCAATAAGATTGACTTGTGGGCCAACCGGACCATAGTCGTGATACAGCTTTGGATGCGGTTTTTGGGATTTGTAGTCGTTATCAAAATAGATTCCATATATCTTCTTTCTGATCTTTTCGTTGAGTTGATACAAGGTGCAAAAGTTGTCGGGCAAAGATAATGGAGAAGCGCCACTCCAATTTTCTAACTCATTTTCACTTGTTTCGTCGTTCATGTTGGTAGCTGAATCTGACATCCAGTCTTCCTCAGTTGGGTTAGCAAATCTTTCTGCAGACATCTGGTCCTCTGAGGTTTTTGTCAGGAAGTGAATGTTAAGTTACTGTATGAGGAATCAAGCGACGACTAGTCAAATGTCATAGATGTTTGATAAGTAACACTTACTTTGACTTGGTCCAGATTTCTGAGAATGAAATATTGTGAAGGTAAAGCAAATAAACGGTAGTCGTGGTAGCCGTCTCTTAGCGTTGTTGAAGACACAGAGGGAAACCAGGAAACACAATTGTAACTTGTAGATACGCCAAGCCTTCACTTCAACCTCAAAACATTCACTTGCAGTATGTAGAAAATCCCTGTGTCCCATGCCATCATGTCATACAAACGTTTATACTGAAACTTGAGTGAATTGATCTGTTAGATGTTTGCTGGCCACTGTTCCTGGTTTTGGGATGGAATGCACTAGAAGTCCCAACTCACGTGATTTCGGCTCAGAGTCAACCTACTGTCAGTGATTTTGTGGGTTGTGTAGGACCTTGAATTGTATCTCTCTTGATGATGCTTACCTTTGCTACTAATTTGGGACAAACAACCTGGCTGCTTGTTGATCTAAACTTGTTAAAAGTTCAAAAAACGCATCGTAAACTCCAACCGAAATTAAGCGAGAGTTGCAATTTGGAGAACGTTAGGGTCTGCCATAGTGATCTAATTCATTGAGTTCATCGTAATTAACACCATCTGATTTGGAAGCATGCAGAGAGGTTTTAGCATAGACTAAGACCCAATGTGCAACTAAAACTTATCTCCCAGAGATGGAATGTAATTTAACAGGATATGGTATACGCAACCTAAACATGAAACTAATCCTAGATTAAGAAGCATGAGTTTTGAAAAATGGAGTAGAATGCTTATATTTGAGTAGCATATATTCATACTGCTCTATCCACTTTTATTTACCTAAAAAGGCGATATTCATATTGCTACATTATCCTAACACCACAGACCATGGACGAGCCCAGTAGCGCTCTGTCCAAAACTTTCCACCAAACTAAAGAGATTCCAACTCCAAGCATCCTATGCAATCATTCCGAAGATTACTTTACAGATATGAGATGCAGCCATTCTATCCTGTGATATTTCCAATGCTGCCATGATTTCTGCATCAATAGATAGGAGCGTGCTTTGCCTTTTAGAATTCTTCTTCTTCGTCCTCTGGATATCTTAAGAGATAGATGCGTCTCATTAGCGGGAGTATGGGGCGAGAGTCACGTTCGAGCACCCAGTAGAAAGTTGTTTCTTCTTCAACACACTCCCACATCCACCTGGGGGTTGGTGCCTCTACCCACTCCTGATCAGGCTCGGACTCGTACACAACATTCAAACAATGCTCAGCAATTGCCTTGGTTTGCAAGATGCGCTCCTGACCTGTCCTACCATCTGGTGTTTCTTCTTCATCGAAGTCGTTTAATTGTAGATGAAATTCTCGAAGCCTCCGTTTTCTGGCAGGGTGTAGTAGGGTGTAAAGAAGCTGGGCGACTCTGCCATCAGTCTCAGTGCCCATTAATGATATGCTGAGTACCTGAAGGTTATCAGCCCAGCTTAGTTGGGATATCGTATCCGACAACACTCCTGGCATAGCATCAAAGCTGTCGGTCTGCAAATTGTTATTTGGCCTATAAGGATATCAGAAACCTGGGCTACCAAGTGAGAAGCAGGCTACTCACCAAAAACGGATATGGAGGTATGTCAACAAGTCCACTGTTTCAGGGCGCAGAGAGAGAAGCGGTGACTCAGGGATCAATTCATGTCGAGCAAAGTAGTTGCTATACGCGAACTCTAAAACCTCTCGATAAAGAATGTGGCAAGGTCTGAGCGCCGCAGCAAGGGCCGAGTCACACAGGTCAAAATGATTGAGCCAACTGTTTGCATCATGTGGTTCAACGCCAAAGTAATAGCGGTAAATCTTCTCTCAAAGTTTGAACGGGAGACGAGAAAGAATACAACCTGTATCTGCTGTGTCGCAAGAAGGCGTATCTTCCGCGAGGTTCATATTCGAGACTGTTTGAACCAATATATCGGTCTCGTCCATATGTATCTCTCTCTATACTGTCATCAGATGGAGTATTTGAGTTGATTTTTGGTGACGAAGGGGCCTCGGCAGGCGGTACTTGAGCCACTGGGATCTGTCTTGGCGATGCGATATTATATTGGACGAGAGGCCGTGGGGGGGATATCTGCTTTGTGAAAATCCTATTCTTTCCTGGGAGGCCGCAAAAACTTGTTTCTGTATCGTAGCGATATGGTATTGGTATGGTGGTGGAGAAAATCGCTTGAAGATGGAGACTGGTTGTGTCTATTCAGCGAGTTCCAAGATCTGGGTGCATCCGAGACTCTTGTGAACGCGTTGAGTGTTACTCACGCGTTTCCCACTTCTTACAACAGCTCCACTTTTCTCATGTAATGACAGCCTATGGATGCAACCGACTTACAGTATGAGTGAAGGATATATATGATACTCAGTCGGAATAGATTTTCAGTGCAAAGCAGTCCTCTTGTTTGCCGTGAATTTGCCATCATTACAACAGCTCATATATGAACAAAGTTAGGCCTTAAAAGGGTTCTTTTGGAATATTTAGCATAAGTATTGCTTGTGATAAGAGTTTTGTGCTGATATAACTCAGGTTCATAATATTATATTTATGTATCTTTTAGTTGCGAACTATCATATGAAGGGCAGTCTCCTTTTCATAACAAGGAGTGTAGTTTTCCAAAGTAATGTGGTCCATTCAGATGACTATACATTGTTCTTCCATACAAGGTCTCTTGGTTTGTTGTCTGCAGGGAAACCCAATATGCTTCTTTGGTCATTTGAAAGAGGTTTCAGCCAATCAGCAAACTTAAAATTACTTCATCTGCCTTCACTGATTGTTGGTCTACGCTGTTTCACTTATGGTTAGTATAGGTCCCTAGTTCTAGAAGAAGAGTTAAAGAATTGTTGTTTTGTCGAAAGTCTAGTTTTTCAAAGAAAGCAGATGTTATTCTTATGGTTTGAAATTAAATAACGACACTGAAAAAGGAAATCAATGATAGCTCATTATCCATAATTCAAGCGCAAGCTGCAACACTATGTACAAGCAATACAATTCCACCACTCAAAGAATCTGTTCATGGGAGTGACACACATGGCGAGTTGAAATAATAGAACGATTCCATGAGCAAGTCACATGGTCCATTACCTATTGAGACTTGCTCCGCTCCCTTCCACCCCTTACACACTCAGGAAACTGTAATACTAGAACTTCCACTACTATAATTCTTGCCATTCGTATACCCCTCCGTAGCTATAATCATGTAATTATGGCCACCCACTACCGGAGGAAGTTAGCATACATCTCAAAAATCTTCCCGAATACTACCAAGGGCTTTCATCAAACATAAGAGAGGGAATCTACTGACACCGCATTCCTGCCTTGCTCCAAGCATCAAAATGTTTCCCTGTGGTAATCGTACCCCCAACCCTCTTCTCCGTTCTCACACTCCAGTACTGTTGAAAGGTTGCTGTGCCAACGATACTAGGTTTATTAACCCTAGTACTCTGGTACAACTGATACGTGCCCTCTTCGAAACTGAAATTCCCCTTTGGAGTCCATGGTTCACCAGGTAGGAGAAGCCCATAAGAGTCAACGATGTAGTATTCGATCAGAGGGTTTGTTGTCCAGCCGTAGAGAGCAAGGTAACCTGGCCCGGTTGGTGTATAGGTACCAGAGTATTTTACTGCTCTGAATTATGTCAAAAGGGAGGAGAATTTGTAGAAAAGGGATAAGCAAACCTGTTTCCACCTGTATTCCATCCCTTTCCGCACACAAATCCGCCACCTTGACCACCCCAAGTTGCAGTATAGGAGCCTGCTGCTCCGTTGGTGCATCTGAAGCTACCACTTCCTTCGGACCAGAAAGAATAATAGAATCCACCTTGTCGAGCTTCGATCTCGGATGGCGCTGGGAAAACACCTCGAGGTATGACCTCTGCCGGATTAGGGAGGGTAAAGGCTCCGTGGAAGTGGCAGATTAGTGCTAGAAGGAGGATTGCAAACATGATTGCTGAGCTTTTTAGGTGTAATTTGAGTTCGGTGGTTTTTCTTTAAACAGATCTCTAATTTCCCGTACTATGTCTGTGCTATATATATTCCATAGATACACGCGATGATGGTTTCTGTGTGTTGATAAATGATGAGCTATTCTGCAAAGCAGTCCAGAAATAGCTTTTAGGCTGCAGGCAAATGTATTTAGCTACTACCCAAGAACGGCTATTTAAAGAGGCACTTGCAGAGTATTATTTGCAGAACGCGCTAGCACAAAAACCATATATTGCGATTAATGCGGGGTAGTATGGGGTAGTTGTACCTGCACGCCCGCAGGACCGAAAATGTGGGGAAGTCGAGCTAAATTAGGCGGAAAAGGAAACTTCCTCTATCACAATGTTATCAGCATCGTACCATCAAGTGAAAACAAATGCCATCTGATGTTGTGGCTAACAACTGCCATGTGCCAAGTGTTAAATACCCTAAGCAGGCTTCAGGTTGTTTTGCATGGTTCCCACCCATATAAATTCCCATAGGTGTGTCTTTCAATCGTTGCATGCCAATTCCGGTATACAAGACATATTACTATTATCATATCTGACAGATACAAACGATTTCCGTGGAGTGGCAAAAGTGTTTCCAAGTAGGTGTGATAGCCGCGGAATGACAGTAGCACGATAAGACACCCTGCTATTGGTTTACGTCGACCCAACCTGAAGCAACATTATGCTAAACATTCTCGCACTTTATAAGCTGTTCAGAGTTGGTGCCAGTTATACTTGAAACCCGTTAAGTCGAGTAACTTGGGACGACTGCGCTTCTTACTGTATCCTACGACTCCTGTCACAGGATTTATGCTATGAGGTGTGCATACGCAGAGCAATGGCCACCACACTAACACATAGCTGAGAGTTGAGAATCTTACCAACCCCAAATTTCTCGAAGCAACGCCTTCGATGAGGTTAAGATCTCAGCATCGGTGCCTATAAACGAGATGTATTATGTCAATGGCAGAACTCAAGAACTTTTACTAAGTTCAGACATTAATGTTTTCTTTGATCGAAAAATGGTAACAATTCGAGGAGATAATAAATCGCACCGAACGAGGAGAGTAAATTAAATGTCAGAGATTGTTGCAAGTATGAGAAAAGCAACCAAAATTTCAAAAGATCCAACGTGGCTCTATTTGCTAATGGGGACTACCAGTTTTATATATCTAGCTGCAAAAATACCATATGTACCGCCGAATATCTCCCACATATTAGCGAATTTCTTACTACCTAAGTTCAAGTAAGTAAGAGAAGACTTACGCTACTGTAGCCCTAGAGTCTCAAATGGCTTCGCAACAGTAAGCGAAGAAACCATTGCGAGAAAAAAAAAAAGAATATCGTAATAACAATTAGTTTATATCTTGGAACAGAACTCACGTCCAATACAGATATGTAGATTGATGCTATCAGCATGATTGCACGAATACTGAGTATCAAGAACCTGATAAATCTATCAATACGTTTGTCTCACATCGTCAATACGGCTTCTTCCTGATGATGAGACTGTCAAAGCATTCTCGTTGGGCCAGGTCTCTCAAGAATTTCTATCCGAGGACGAGCTTGGAATCTCCGCAATCTGGTTCATATACGGACGCCCTTTCAGCATCGCTCGTGTGTCGCCCTCTAACGTGAAAGCCATGGGTTGGGACTACAGCAATCTCGACATGAAGTATTGGAAATATGAAAGAGGCTGTGATGACCAGATGAAAGACTTTATATTCAAAGTTGACATAGACGGCAATGTCCCGGATATTAAAGTACCGGACCTGGAAGATGGTGTCGAAATACCTGCGTAGAAAGATAACTTGGACTATAACCTTATGATTTCATTTCTTGGGTTCTAAATTTCGATTTCTTGTTGATTAAGCTTTTCTACTAGCGTGGTTTCCTTTTTAGATATTATTAAGCTACACCCGTAATATATTTTATAATATCAATAACAAGAAATAATGTGATATGGCCTTCTTTTCTTTCCTAAATAAGCGGTCTTCCAACCAAAACAGCACAGCTTGAAGTAATAATTCCACATCTTCTCACTCACGACCTCCCCCTCTCGCCAAAACTTGGATTGTGGAGTTTAGCATACCCATTCGATGTTCCTATGCGCCACACCATGGAGTTATTATTCAAGAAGAAACAAATAAGAAAGGAGTCTGCTTGCAAAATTGCAGATCAGAAAATGGCTAATAGTTGATTTGTCTGATATTTCGAACCGCATCGCATAAGCCATTGTTCTCTTCTGCTTAAGTATTCACTTACCCCTGCCCACGTCCAAATCATGTGACTCGCCCCCTTCGTCCTGTCCTCGCTCTTCCCGAAAACCTACAAACCGAAGAGTTATCGAATAAAAGAAGTCGTTATATTTAAGAAGATATGGTTTGCATTAATTAAAATAGTATCAAGAAAACTATTTCCTTCCTAGTCCTCGTTCCTTAACTGCTGTCAAATCAAACACGCAAGAGAGACATAAGCTCTAGCAGGTAGGAAACAACAATAAAAACAATCAGAGAAGCCATGAAGTTCGAGGAAACAAGAATGAGAAAGAAGAACAAGGCAAAAGAACACTTTCCTTTCAACCCAATCGAATGGTCTGAACTGGTCTCCTTGCAAGCCAATCCTTGATCTCTCTGCTATAGCCTCCAGATTTCTTTGGGTTACCGAAATCGCTCACCATAGAGACATTGCCTCCGTGAACCCGAGCAATCCCGGAAACAAGCGCGTAACAAACACCCACCCACCCGTTCCATGTATTCCCCGCAGCGGCTCTGCTTTGCTACTATTATCGACATGTAGTATGGGGTGGATTCAAAACTATTGTAAGCCAATATCATGGCCGTAAGACCTTCTCGAAACAAACAGGACGCTAAGCCTTGCTCGCTAAGGATAAGTTCATCAGGGAAGAAGGACAATTCAATGTTAATTGATACATCCCCAACCAGTAACGCAGCGTAAAGCAACTGATGCTCCAGACCCAAACTGGTAGCCTTCTTGATAATCTTGCAAGCTGACGTCTTCGCAGTGAAGTGAATAAACTTTGCATCACGCGCTTTTGCCAGGAAAGGTGGAATATGCTTTCGCTGCCGAGGAAATGGTTTGAGACGTTTGTTCGGTAGTTCCACAGACATCTTAACGCCACATTTCATTTGTGCGCTCTCGTTGAATCGAAAGGAACCTCCTGTTGGACCAGCCCACCCAGCCCATGACCAGGATGGAAAGATAGCCCTACGGCAACATTGTCGCGCATCTGGATGCCACCAGAGAAGACCAATGACAAACTCGTAATCTGCAGTGAAAGTTTGAGGACTACCAGGGGCAATTCTGGTCATAAATGGGACTCCTTTGAGTTGGAAAATTGCAGGATGGACTTTCTCGAACACGCTAAAAACACCACTCATTGCATTTAAAGCATCCGTTTCGTAAGAAAGTTTTCGCATGGTAAATTCCCGTATGCAACTCATGAATGACGATGGTATGCCAGTAGCTTTCGTTTTGAATGCCCCAGCAGTAGAAAAAGGGCCATGGAAGTCCTGTGGAGCATCTTCGCGCATTGCATTGAGGGGTAGGTTGACTGTCTCGACGCAATGCATACTATTACATTCAAAGAACACCTGTTGCCTAGTGAATATCAACCGACGTTTAGAGAGAACGCCTTCCTTGTCCATCCCCGTGTTCCCCACTCTGATCTTGACAGCAACGTATCAGGACTGTCGAGGGTTGAAATGATTATCTGCTCTCCAATCTTGATAGCTGGCTGTGGATTCCGTGATGTCCCATTGACACCAGGGAGGCCATAATTAGGATCGCCACTCGCAGCTGCGATGATGGCAAATTGCGCACTGGCATATATCATATCCACTTGACAAATCTGATCATGCTTTTCTTGTGCGTTTGCTTGATTGATACAATATCTATCGACCCAGAGATATTGGAGACCAAGCCTCTTAACCAATTCGATGCTATCAAGAATAACTTTTGGCGCAAATTCAACGTTTTGAAAAGCCAAATCGCCACCAGGACCCGAAGACAACGGTTTTCCCCATACATACGACAATGCGACATACTCGCAATTCTTTGCCGCCTTGACGACCTTTGTCGATAGGCAATCTATCACACGAAATGACCTCATTTTGAGAGGGGTCGCAGGACGACATATAGCAGTATGCCTCAGGCGACAAGATCTTAGCCAACCCTCTGAAATTGTGCAATCGAAAGATTCCGCATTGAGGAACCGCAAACCAAACATATCTGGATTTTGATTGACGGTTGTGGGAGTCGCAAGGCCTATGTATGGACCGCTCGAAGTACCCCAGTCGTTGTTCTGAACAGACAGGAGAATTGTCTTGCATTGGCTCAAGTTTTTCGACCATCCTATAAGTAGATATCGTTCTGAATGATATTAGACGCGATAGGAGTCATATTTCTGTTCCGAGTGAGTGTTGGCAACGGCGCCAAAGAGCCTGCATAAGGCACACCTTGAGGCTCTTATTCTGGCAGCTGAGTGGCCTAAGTCTACTGAAAGGAGTGCTGATCCGGATCCATGTGAATTCGAATAAAGGGATCTACCATTGAATAGCGGCAAGATATCGAGGGCAGCACATTGCGAACAGAGGTCGTTCATGGATTTGATGGATATGCTTGGTACCAGTGGTCCATTTGAGGGCCAAGGAGCATCAGTTTCATTCTCTTTACAACTTTCGGCTTGATTCTACAGGAGAGTCGGTCAGTAACCCACATACACTTCAGAAGACACTATGCCAGAATTCTGGAACAAGTCACTTGACTAGCTACCCAGGTCGCTTAAAATACGAAACAGCTCTCGAAATCCACCTACTCGAACAGTTCTCATAATTTGTTCTACTATAGAAAACTTTTGGATAATGTGAGTTCAAAAGGACTGATGAGAAAATAAATACTCCCTCTTACCTTGTCATAGTACGGCGCCGTGAGGAGATTCCAACAGCATCTGGAGAGAGAGAGTATAATGGTAGTATACAGAAGGACAAGCGAAAGAACAGATAGCATTAAAAACAAACAAAAACACATCACCTAACAAGTGAGAAAGATTGAGGAAAGTGAACGAGTTCGAAAGCAAGGCTACAGTATATGATGTTATCTGATAGAAGAGAGGAGAATGCAGGAAGGATCTCAGCCTCAAATAAGCGAGGCCCAAATAAGCGCAAAGCCACTAGACACACACCCACCTTCGCTCCCACCACAACCCTCGACATCTAGTCCATAGGTACCTCAACAACATCAACAACCACTACCACAACCACCAATCCCCCCTCATTACCAAATGCCACCCCTCCGCGCCCTCCATCCTCTCAGCGTCCTCCGCCCAAAAAGACTCCCCCACCGACCTCTCCCACGCTTCCACTCCACATCACCGCAAAACGAGCGAATAACCCGGATCCTCTCGCGTCTCCCCAAATTCCTGCACCCATACACCAACGGTCTCCGTTCCGCGCCCGTCTCCCACGTCGTCTCTTTCCTGATCTTGCATGAGATAACGGCGATTGTGCCACTGGTGGGTCTAGCGGGGGTGTTCCATTATTGCGAGTGGTTACCTAAGGTATGTTTACGTGGATAGTTTTTCTTCTATAGCTAGTCTTTTCGAAAATATGATATGCAAACCACCAATTTGGGATTTGGGAGATGCTTGGGGGCGGGGAGCTAATATATCAAATTGAATAGGGTTGGTCTGAAGCAAGTTACATCAATGATGGCGTCGAGAAGTTTGGCAGGTATTTTAGGAGGAAGGGGTGGTTTGGGTTTAGTAGGGAGCATGAGGAGGGGGAGATACAGGTTAAGGAGGGGGTGAGTGAAGGATTTGTTGCGGACATCGAGGTGAAAGGGAGTGGAAATGGGAATGGGACAAGGATATTGGTTGAGGTTGCGACTGCATATGCTATTACGAAAGTATTATTGCCCGCGAGAATCATCCTCAGCGTGTGGGCCACACCATGGTTTGCTAGAGTGGCTGTTGGGAGGTTTGGGCGGATTTTTAAAAGGGCAGGAGGAAAAGCGACGACAAATGGAACGATGCCAAATTCGAAGGGGTCATGAGAGCGCCAACGAAGATACTCGTCCTTTATCCAGTGGAAACACAATACACAACACGATGTGGATATGGTCTGAATCATCACAAAAAGGGCTAATCAATTTTCATGTCTGCTTCCTTTTGCTCCATATTTACCACCTGGGGATATCATCCACCAAAATTTCCGATATCCGCCATGCTAACTTTTATGTTTGTGTATGGCTGGGTAGAAGAAATCTACTTCTCGTAGACCCAGTCGTGTTGAGCGGACTTCCATGATTGGACCTCACCCTCCTTGAACCAGAGAGCGATCTCCTTCTTGGCGTTCTCGACGCTGTCGGAACCGTGGCAGACGTTGCGTCCGACATCGATGGCGTAGTCACCACGGATGGTACCTGGGGCGGATGCGAGAGGGTTGGTGGCACCGAGGAGAACTGAAGATTGTTAGAGGTGATGAAACACGGTGGCGAGGTGTACTTACCACGGCCGGTCTTGACAGCGTCACGACCCTCCCAGACCATAGCACATATTGGTCCGCTTCCCATGTCTATTCAATGTTAGGTATGTGCGGAGTATGCTTGAGGATGGATAAGCATACACTTGATGAGTCCTGGGAAGAATGGCTTGGAGGAGAGATCCTCGTCTGTAGTCGGCGATTAGCTGTTGATTCGGATGATTCGAGGAAAAAAGGGGGGCTGAGTGAACTTACAGTGCTTCTCGAGGTGCTCTTGGGAAGCAGTCATCAACTTGATGGCAGCGAGTTTGTATCTAGAGACATCCGTCAGTTGGGATTACTCTCAATGGAAAGGCAACGGAAACTCACCCTCGGGCCTCGAATCGGGAGATGATTGGGCCAATGAGTCCACGCTGTATTGACAATCAGTTGGGAGTTCTTGTAGTTGTTCGTGTTATCGGTGTCGTACCTGAACTCCATCAGGCTTGATGGCAATGAAGCTGTTGATTTTGTCAGTTTTTATCGCCCAAATATACCCCTCAGTTGTGGATTGGTGGTAGATACTTACGTTTGTTCGTCAGACATGTCTGCGGTTGGAAGTGATACTTGTTCTTCTCGGTGTTTATTGGCAGCTCGTAGATAACCTTGAGTCTTTGGGCTCAAGTGTTTGAAGATTGGAGGATCGTTGGGTTGTTGTTCGTCACTCATTGAGGGGAAAGATTTATTGATTTTTGGAGGGGTTGCTGCCAGTGGGGCATGAGGGCTGGGCAACCTGTTTGAGCTTAGCTTCTAGCGCATCTGTTCCTTCATGCCTTGATGTTCGGGCTGCCATTATTTTGAGGCACAGATTCTGAGGGAAACGCCAAGCCCTTTGGGACAAGGATCGTTTCTTCCAAGCTACTGAGGACAGCTTAGAATAGCTTCACTTCTACACACTGCTTTATGGCAATTGCTGGACAGTCCCCTATTGTGCTGTCCAACCCCCCAATTTAAGCGATCTTTGCGTGCCTTAACGATGCGTCGTTCCATGACGCTATCCTCGCAATGGGCAGCATTTTTTGTGTTGTTCTCAGCACTGTGTTGCTTGTTTACTCCAACTGGTACAGTGTGCCCTCATATTTCTTGCCCTAATTTAGTACTGATTTGGTTCTCCAGTGGCTGTAAAATATGAGAATTTCAAGACCTGCGATCAGGCGGGCTTCTGCAAACGAAATCGAGCGTATGCTGATGCAGCAAAGGCCACCGGATGGCAGGCTCCTTTTCAACTAGTGCCAGAGTCCTTGAGTTGGAAAGATGGGCAACTAAAAGGCACGATTCTGAAGACGATCAACAAAGCTGGTGAGACGGTCCGGTTACCTGCCACCATTACATTTTTGGAATCAGGATCAGCGAGAGTGACAATCGACGAGGAGAAGCGTCAAAAGGGCGAAATTGAGTTGAGGCACAACAGTACTGCACGAAAGGAACGATACAATGAGGCCGAATCCTGGGTTATTGTTGGGGGGCTCGATGCCAGCACCACAGCTAGCGAATCAAGGGAATCTACACAGACCATCATCACCTACGGCCCGGAAGGTAAATTTGAGGCTGTCGTCACATTCGCTCCTTTCGGTATTGAATTCAAGCGAGACGGTTCCACGCAAGTTAAGCTCAACGACCGCGGATTGTTGAACGTGGAGCACTGGAGACCAAAGGTTGAAAAGGTTGAGGCCGAGAAGAAGGAGGGTGAAGAGACTCCTGCTGCTGAGGTCGAAAAGACTGAAGATGATAGCACGTGGTGGGACGAGTCGTTTGGTGGACAAACGGACAGCAAGCCTAAAGGACCGGAAAGTGTGTCCCTTGACATTACCTTCCCTGGTTATGACCATGTATATGGTATTCCAGAGCATGCGGGACCATTGTCTCTCAAACAGACTCGTGGGGGAACCAACAACCACGAGGACCCTTACCGTTTATATAACGCTGATGTTTTCGAATATATTATGGATAGTCCAATGACTCTCTATGGTGCTATTCCATTTATGCAAGCACACAAGAAGGACTCAACAGTTGGAATCTTCTGGCTCAACGCGGCAGAGACTTGGATCGATATCATCAAGGAAACGGAGGCTCATAACCCTCTCAGTCTTGGCATCGGCTCCGGGACTGACACCAAGACTCACTGGTTCTCTGAAAGTGGATTGATTGATGTTTTCGTATTCCTTGGACCAACACCTAAGGATGTCATCAAGACATACAGTGAGCTCACTGGAACCACTCAACTCCCTCAGGAGTTTTCCATTGCCTATCACCAGTGCCGATGGAATTATAATACAGACGAGGATGTCAAGGATGTTGACAGAAAGATGTCAAAGCATCAGATTCCTTATGATGTTATCTGGCTCGATATTGAATACACTGATGACAAACAATACTTCACTTGGGATTCTCTTTCTTTCCCTAACCCCGTTGGTATGCTTGAGCAACTTAACCAAACTGAGAGAAAACTTGTTGCTATCATTGATCCTCATATTAAGAACAAGGAGGGATACAAGGTTTCCGAGGATTTGAAGAAGAAGGATCTTGCTGTTCACAACAAAGATGGAAACATCTACGAGGGTTGGTGCTGGCCAGGCTCATCTCATTGGATTGATTGCTTCAACCCCGCCGCGATTAAATGGTGGATCAGTCTTTTCAAATACGACATATTTAAGGGAAGCATGTCCAACGTTTTCATTTGGAACGATATGAACGAGCCTTCTGTTTTTAACGGCCCAGAGACTACCATGCCAAAGGACAACTTGCACCATGGTAACTGGGAGCATCGTGATGTCCACAATCTCAACGGGATGACATTCCACAATGCAACATACCAAGCCATGCTTGAGCGAAAGAAGGGCGAGATCCGACGTCCATTTGTCTTGACTCGTTCTTACTTTGCTGGTAGTCAACGTGTTGGAGCCATGTGGACTGGTGATAACCAAGCCAGCTGGGATCATCTTGCTGCTGGTTTTCCCATGATCCTCAACAACGGTATCGCAGGTTATCCATTCGCCGGTGCTGATGTGGGAGGATTTTTTGGAAACCCCGAAAAAGATCTACTCACTAGATGGTACCAAGCTGGTGCCTTCTATCCATTCTTCCGTGGGCACGCTCATATTGATACCCGCCGGAGAGAGCCATATCTCATTGGCGAGCCATACACCGGTATTATTACTCAAGCCTTACGTCTCCGTTATTCTCTTCTTCCTGCTTGGTATACTGCTTTCCACGAGGCTAGTGTCGATGGCACACCTATCATCCGCCCTCATTACTTCGTCTATCCAAGTGATGAGGCTGGTTTTGCTCTCGACGATCAATTCTTCGTTGGTGGTACCGGACTTCTCGCCAAGCCTGTTGTCAAGGAGGGTGCAACCACTGTCGATATTTACCTTCCCGATGAAGAAATTTACTACGATTACTTCAACTATGAGACATGCTCTGGTAAAGGATCAAACACCATCCAGGCACCTCTTGAAAAAGTCCCTCTATTGATGCAAGGAGGTCACGTCATCCCCCGCAAAGACCGTCCCAGACGAAGCAGTGGACTTATGAAATGGGATCCTTATACTCTTGTCGTTGTCCTCAACAAAGCTGGAACAGCCTCAGGAGAGCTCTACGTTGATGATGGAGAGACTTTCAATTACCAACTGGGTGCTTATATTAAGCGCGCCTTCGAGTACAAGGACGGTGTCCTTTCGAGTACCGATAGCGGTACCAAGGGTAAATTGACTGACAAATATCTCAAGACGATGAAGACAGTTGGTATAGAAAAGATTATCGTTGTTGGTGCCCCAAAGAACTGGGAGGCTAAGAAGAGTGTCAAGGTTGGAAAAGGAGATGCTAATTTCGAATTCCATGCTGAGGAAGGAAAATCGGCTGCTTGGGCCGTTGTCAAGAACCCTGCCATCCAGATTGGTGAGGACTGGACGATTGAGTTCTAGAGTGTAGATTGGAGGTGGGAGGGTTTGTTTAGCGATATGAATGATAGATTTGGTGTGTAAAGATATTATTTGAAATGATTCCAGTTCATGATTGCTTTTTCCTTTGGTATCTCAGTGTTGAAATTAGCCTCCTCCCCTCCCTTGCCTGTTTTCATTTTCCCCTTGCAATGCTATGTCCTTTTCCAAATCCCATATTACAGTTTTCACCACTCCATATATACACTCATCTTCACTCCATCCTCCAAGCTCAAGCCTTGATACTAATCATCTCCTCAACCTTCATCCCATCCTCCCCAACCACCCCAGCCTTCCTCAAAATCCCAATCGTCTTCTCCACCACCTTGCTATCAACCCCCTTCGTATTCCCAGCAAACTTCACAGTCTTCAACCACTCCCTCGCATCCTCCTCACTATAATCCAACTCGGTACTAATATACCTCACACTCTCCTCGGGATTCTCATTAAAATACTTGATCCCCCGATCCAATTTCTCAAACAAGCCCTCCAACGCCTCGCCTCCCACATCCAGTCGCGTGGACGCAACGATCTGCCACGAAGGCCACGGCGTGTAGATCTCCCCTATCCGCTTGATCTCCCCGTTATCATAATACCGCTTAGACGTGAAGTGTTCCCACATGAAGAAATCCGCGTCTCCTGAGTTCACAGCTGCGCGCAGGTTGGCGAATGTTTGCAGTGGGTGGATGGTAAATGGATGGGGTGTTTGGGGTGTGAGCCAGCTGTTTTGGTCCGCGAGGACGTAGCCCATTACGTAGGAGCCGGAGCCGATGCGTGAGACGCCTATTTTGTTGTGGGTTTGGAGGTCGGAGATGGAGGATATGGGGCGGGTTGTGCCGGTGGAGATTGCCCAGCCTGTGGTTTTTGGTTGTTAGCCTCTCTTCGTTCTTTCTTTCACTTTCATCTTAACTTCTCTCCTCTCGTCTTCTTCAAAATCTCTTCTTCGATACACATGGATATGGAAGGGAAGACCTACATAAAGGCGTATCAACATAAGTCCCTACAATCCTATACCCCCCATCACCTTCCACATCCTCCTTCCCTAGTCCCGCTACCCATCCCTCTGTCAGTCCAATTGCCACATCTATTTCCGAGGATCGCAGCGACGTTATCATATGTCCTGTCCCCGAAGGGAAGGGGATTAGTGTTGCCGTCAATCCGAAGTGTTTTTGTGCGTAGTGCAGGGGCGTGGAGAAGTGTTCGGGTACGTAGCCTATGCGGAGGGGTTGGTTGGTTGTCATCTTGTGGATCTGGGGTGGATTGTGGAATAGGGGTTAGGTTTTGTTTTGGGTCTGTTGAGAGGCTTGGTGGTGTGGTTGTGAGGTGGATTACTGTTGTGGTTTGACTGAGAGGTAAGTGAGCTTGCAGGTGAGGTGAGGTGATTGCGGGGTGATTTGAAATGGAGGGGTTGTGAGACGGGGAAATATCGGCAATTTGGTGGAGTACTTATTAGACGACACTTGGATGCAGAAGTTCTGCTCCAAAATTTGTTGGTATAATAAGACTCTTTCATATGAGATTTGTGGTTTTTCTGCTATTGTCTCTCTCTTTCTGTTATTGAACTCGGGGAATCCGTTTTAATAATAGTTAGGAAAGTAGTTCTAGTTAATGGAATAGAATACTTCTATCGATTAGTCTTTAGAATTCTAGGAGTTCTATAGAAATCTAGTAGGGGTAGTTCTAGTGAATAAGCTCGCTTGCTTACTAGGATATAAGAAATATAGATTTAAGTCAATGGGAATACTGATGCCTAATAGGTTAATTCATATTTAGCTACCTTAATAGAAGGATTAATAAGTTACTAGATAGACTCTCTATATTATATATAATATTCGTACTCGAGGGAGAGCTTTACATAATGTATCCCAAAACTCCCTCCCCCCCCCAGCTAAGGTCTAGTCTATAGATAGTTAAGCTAAATATAAGATCTCTATTAGCCTATCGGACTTGAGAGGCCCATTTCCGGGTTATATAATAAATTCTATTTAGATATTCTACAGAATGGAATGATTCCAGCATTTCTTTAATAGAATGGAATTATTCTAGAAGGGGGGGGGGTCTGGGATAGAAAGGAATTCCAGCTGCCAATCCTTAAATGAAGAGTATTGGAAAACTTCATAGTTTATTGTTATAAAAATGAATAACTATTTTTTAAGCATGTATAACATTTCATCGCCATTCAGAAAAGAGAAAGATTTATACAGAAATCTTTGAATCCTTCTTCTCTTTTTTTATCTTAGCCACAAATTTGTTCCACTTTGTCTCTGGAAAGCGAGCAACCAAAAGAACTCCCAAACACATTGGTATAGAGACACTAGCAAAAAGTATTAACTAACGGGAGCTTAGACCATCATTCATCCCAAATAGACTCGTCACAAAAGACATTGGAATGAATAGCAGTGCCAGATTCGTTAGTCGAGTGACGTTTGCGGCCTCTTTGAGGGAACGCCTGGCATCCACTATCTGTATCAGTGCAGTAACCACTTGCATCTTTGCTTCTAGCTGCTTGTGGTATGTCGAGACCGTCTTCTCGAGATATATAATCTTGCACAATTGCGCCAAAGACCGCCTTCTCCTCTTCCGATGAGTTTGCAACACGACGGGTGACAAAGGTCGACACATAATTGAGTTTAGAAACGGTTTGCGTACATCTCCTGCCCCAGAGTTGGTGTAGACTCATATCTGCATCCAATTTTAATAATGTCAAGTTTTCCGCTGCAATCTCCGTCGTGTACCCGTATTTTCTAGAGGTTCGGTTCAATACCTCAAGATATCTCACCCAGTCTCCAGTCACAATTCCCATCGGGTAGTACCCAAGAGACAAGAAGGATGCGTAAATTGGGGGCACTTAATTCTGAAGCTGATACTTATCGACATATTCTTTCTTCATGTCTTTGTAATCGCTTGCCAAACAAGGGTCCACAAAATTACCTAGCCATCCCTTTCTTCTATGCGAAACTAATCCCACATCGTCCATCAGCCTATCAGTGTAACCCACCAGATCAAGATGAAAATAATTCCCAGCAGCTCCATGGGAGGGATATCTCCTCTTGGAAAAAGCATTCATATACGCCACATCTCGCATCGCTTGATCTTTTGGTGGGATTCTCACATTACCGTCGAAATATGCGGTGACCCAAATTGCCTGAGCTTCAGCCGGTCGGAAGGAATTCAAAAGAATCACATGTCCAACGAATGCAATTGATCGATCATCAGGCGGTGCGATACCATTATGAAGGCGGGATGGAGTAATACTTTGGACGTTCTGGATGTGTGTCGGTGGGTCTTTGAGCTTTGGGAAGTCAGCTAGAACCTTCCTGTCCGCATCATCTATTAGATCTCTCCAACGGCTTCCTACAATCTCTGGTTCATCGTCATGCGAATGAGGAAGGCCAAAGTCGACCAACTGCTCGGTCGTAAGAAATGGGTGATTTTGATGCCACCCTGTCCCACAGAATAGGATGTCTGTAGAGACTTTCGAGCCATCCCCAAGAATGATAGAATTCGCCTCCAGCCTATCAATATCGCTCCTGTAGACGTGAACGTTACGGGCAATTGTGTCCCAGAAGTCGTCTTGTTGAAGGGACCCAAATGGACCGGTAGCCCAAAATATTTCTGTTGAGGACTTCAAAATTTTAAAGCCTGGAAGAGCTCCTGGACGAGAATCGAAGTTAGCCAAATTGACGCACGCTTGATCTGCTCCTTTCCAGATTTTTGTCGTGATATATTGACAAAGAGTGGACTCGTGAATTGCACACGTCCACCAAGATTTGGGAGCGAAACATGAAGGACTCAGTCCAGCGAAAAACCGAGTTGCTGAAATTTCTGCCCCATTTCTATATTTTCCTCGGCTTGTCACGCCTGCGAACGCAGCGGGTCCTTCTCCGCTGTTTCTAATTATCCAACTGACTTTCTTTCCCGCCTTCACAGAGTCATATACCATATCGGCGGCAGACTTGCCGCCGCCCAGGGCAGTAACTTGTGTGTATAGGGACAGTGACTCCTGAGAAACCCTGCGGAAGTCTTTTTGATGGACGATCTTCCCTTGGAATCGATTTTGATCAACGAAAGTAGGCATATTTGGAATATTAGTGTGCCCTGTTGCAACCACAAGCTTCGATGTGTGAATGCTTTTGGAATCGTCGTCTCCGCCCTTCACAATCCAAATTCCATCCTTCTTTTTTGCATCTTGAACACGAAATCCGAATATTATTCTATCCCGTAATGTTCTTCCGTCGTAGACATGATTCTCAACATAGTCTTCAAGATACTTTGTGACATATTTAGCCTCAAATGTATCATGATACATGTTAGCACCATCTGGGAGTTCTAGAGGAACAACGGAGAAGCCCGCCATTCTCAGTCTGCTTTGTGACTAAAATCCCTTGTATTGTCGAGCTATAAAATTTGTCTTAGTATTATTTGCGGTATTGAAGTCATGGAAAACATACTTGAGCTCCACACACCACCAATAACAGACTCCTCTTACAAGATGGCTAGTCTACATTCATGATGGGTATCCATGTAGAACCTCGCCGTTTCAATCCCAACAAGTCCTAACACAATTTAGCTCCCAGCAGCTTATATACTTTTCCGAATGCGGAGGAGGAATTGAGTTACCTGCACCGATCACCACAACATCATATCCGGGTTCCTTCATCACTGCTGTTGATATAGATCTTCAAGTACAAAACGACGAAATATCATGAAAATCTTTCTACGAAGTGGTGTTTTTGAGTTGCTAGAAGTTCCAATGCTCAATGGGCCGCCTGGTGATTAAGCACCTTCGCCCGTCATCCAATTCGCGATGCAGAAAGTGATCAAAACCAACCACGCCAATGTGTTGGTTCCAGGGGTTGTCAACTCTACCACCTTCCACTCAATTTATGTGGGGCTTGATGCCTGCTTGACTGATATGGATATAATTGACGTTGCTGGGGTCGGTTTTCAGCCCCGTTTGATCGGTCGCATCCTGCACGTACGAGTCACTGCAGCAGACTGGCACATTCTGCATGTCGTCAAACCCCTGTATAATAAGTTATCGAGCCGCATGTAGAGATCTTAAAGACTGGTTGTGATTGTTGGTTGTGTTGGTCACATTCTGTGCCATATCCAGTGGCTTTGCCGTGTTGGCATATGCACTCCTCGACCATGTCGGCGGTTATCTGCAGATATTGTTCTACCAGTAGATTTGAAGCTGGTAGTTTAATTTAGCAATTCAGCTATTCAAGGCAGATATATGTAATGAGCCTTGTTGGCGTTCTTCCAACAGCTTGCCGAAGTTGGTTTCATTTGAGATCTTCAACGGTAGAACACTTCTCCCGTCGTATGAAGTCATCTCAGACCTTTACTAAACTTGCCAATCAGAGTATTCCCAGAGTTCTACTGGTATACCTTTTACAATGACTTCTAGCATTCCATCAGAGGTTCTTGCGCAATATCCAGCTCTGGCCCCTCCGCCGGGTGTTGAGCCCAACCTCAACATCCCGGAGTCTAGGGCACATAGTGTCATCGTTGCAAGCGGTGTGTTTACAGCTATATTGTTGATCTTTGTTATTCTCCGAATGTATGCAAAGGTCTTTGTATCAAAGTCAGTTGGATGGGAAGATGGTAAGCACGTATAATTGAAGGCTGCGATAACCATACTTACACATCAGTCTAGCTGCATGTGTAATGGGAACAGTGTGTTTAAATCCGCCACCCAATTAACAATATAGCCACTGATAGAAGCAGATTTTCTCCGTTGGCTATGTGGGGTTGGTTTCACACGGTTCGTCAAACCAATTACCTACCCATTTTGGTTACATATGTTAACATTACTTGAAGTGTTTCATAGTGGTATTGGGGCCCATCAATGGAATGTACACTTAACGGTGTTTTTTAATGAAACCACTGTAAAGGTAATGCAATATCTTCAGGAAAGTTTATTGAGTGGTCACTAATCAACTTCTCTGCAGGAGTTGAAAGCAACAAATTTCCTCTCCTCGCCTATGATGATATTCGCAAAACTAAGTGTTTTGCTTCTTTTTTTCCGCCTTTTTGCTACCACAAAATCGTTCCGAAACTGGATATACTTTGGCATATTTACAATACTCTTGAATCATGTTGGCGGTGTGCTACTTGCAGGTATGGTAAATTCTGCTCTCCAACTGTTTGATTGGTACCCTCATTACTGACAATTACCTGTGTTAGTCTTTCTATGCCTCTCATCAGACCCTATCGTCTATGCAAAATGTTCGGAAAAGACGGTTATCCTGGATGTCGTTATTAGTGTTATCAACATTATTAGCGACTTTTGTATACTTCTCTTACCTCTACTTGTCATTTCTCAGCTACGCATGAATGGTAGAAAAAAGGTGGGATTGTGCGCAGTATTCATGACTGGTCTTGAGTGAGCTTTCACAGAGAGGACTTTTCTGTATAAGCATCATTCAGCAACTAATATATCGCAGTGCCTGTATTTCAAGCGTTGTTGGCTTGATCTACAGAGTGGTCCAGTGGCATAGTGATGACACGAGTTGGTGGCTTGGCCCACTACTGGTCCTCTCGTCAGTCTCCCATGAACCAGCTTAATTTTCTGCTCAGTCTGCTAACTATCCATAGCCTCCTGGAGGTAAACATGACTCTTATTACAGGATGTATGCCCCTTATTCCGGTAATCTTCAAGAACAACAATCTGTCTTTGGAATCTTTCCTGAGCTCTCGGTTCTTCACTCTTCTTAGCCTGCGTACCAAAAGATCTTCGAATTATGAGAGCGATGATGCACCTTCCAAGCCAATCTCTAGAGAGAACTATGTTGAGATGGGTAACAGAAATTCAAAGGATAAGGGTTTTAAGGCTGGGGACGGTGATGTGGTCTGAGTAAGAGGGAAATCAACGACGGGTGGTTTTCATGGCACAAAGTCATTTATTTATTTATTTATTGCTATTTAACGTCAAGCGGAGTCTAGCTCGCGTGGGCTAGGTCCTAGAAGAGTCCCAATATGGGCAAATGACGCTAGGGGGGTGCCCTAGGCTACAGGGGGTGTAAAAGAAGAGACGCTAATTTACAAGAGACAGTTTAAAGAGAAGCCCCACTTTCGGGACAGCCCTTATCCTTAATTAGTTTTGAGAACCAGGGTACAACAAATGAAATACATAAATCAAAGAAAGAAAGAAAAGTAGGCCAGCCTATCTAGGTAGACAAATATTAGTGAAGAATCTAGTCTTAAAGTAGACCTTATTAAATAGCTCCTCGCAGCCGGGGCCGAAGAGCAGCTGAGGGTTCCTCTGAGCTTCTGCTAGTAGCCTAGGGGCTACGTTGTTTGCTAGCCTACAAAATAGTAGGTGGAATTGAGACTTAGCCTTCTTACACTTACAATCCCCTGAGGTAAGTAATGCGTCAAAGTGAAAGAAGCGAAGGTGGTAAGCGACAAAGTCTCCATGCCCAGAACGAGCAGCTATTAAGCGAGCTAGAACCTCTCTTGGTAATTGAAGAGACCGTGGCTTCAAAGACCAATTTTCAAGCCCCAGATCCTTATAGACAGCCGGGAGTGTATCAAAATGCCACTCGGTAAGCCTTGGTGTTGACTCTGATAACAAGATTGTTAGCCCATTGTGAAAATCCCGAATTCTATTCGCAATACTCACACCCACATGAACATCAAAATAACAACAGAATATCAGGTTCTTTCATCCCTAGTTGCCTCTGCGCCTCTTCCATTGTTGTTATGAGCCAAGCTGCACCGGGTCGCTCGCTCTTTGGTAGCTTGAGGTATTCCTCAAGTGTTTTCAGGATTCTAGTCATAGGATCTCTAGCTGCAGATCTCTTAGGCCATTTATACCAGATCATCCAGTTGTTGTCGTCGAAATCAATAAAGTCGTACAAAAGTGATGGGTTCATTTCGAGAATCCTTTCTCCAAAAAAGGTCTGAATTCCTGCATTTACAAAGGTTTGTTGACACAATTTGTATAGCGAGAACTGAACGTTTTCTCCTTTTCTTGAGATTTGAGCCAGTTTTGGAAGAGCATCAACTCTCGTGGCGCTGTTGATTCAAGCAAGGAATTGCATTTGTATGATTTTGAGTTGTTCGGGTTTTTGAAGTTGTATATGGTAGAAGTGGCTCTTCAGGTGGAATAGACTTTGTGATTGGGGATTCAGCTTCTGGATTCCTCCGGTAAAGTGTGGGTTTGGCGAGTATATGCTTTTTGCGCCAGCATCTGAGATACCAAACGAGCCCACCAGATCTCGTATTACGCCCCCGTAGTCGGGAGTGGTGGTATTTTTTGTAAGCCGCAATCACGTCTTTGTAAGATGTGAGAACATAGATTTTCTCCCCACCCAAGGTTATTGAATACGGCTCACGGCTGCCTTTGAGGTAAACTTTCGCGGAGTCGAACACCTTGTCTTGATCTTTGATGAAGGTAATCGCATGGCCAAGGAAGGGAATACAGTAAGGAATCTCTTTGGGCTGAGATGGATGTAGAATTGGGCTAAAAGTAAAGCGATATAACCTCCAGGAGAGTAAACTAGCGAATGGAGCCAGGAAGAGGAAAGCAAGGATTGGATGAAATTCCACTGTTTGTAGGACATGCTGACGAAGCAACAACAGCAGCGGGCTTATTTGCGTATGAATCATTATGCAGTTATCTCGTATTCTTTCCCAACAAAAGATTGTGATTTTTAAAGATGCAAGCTGCCTGAAGGATATGTTAAGTACAGTTCGCCATCACTGAAAATCACCTGACTCGATGGTGGCAATTGCTACAAAAATTGCATTGAAATGTTATGAACTAATGCTTTTGGTATTATGCCCGTTCTTTTCGCGGAATTAATTGTGGAGAGCTGTATTGTTGCTCTCGGAGGGGGGCATTGCAGATGCTGGAAGCTGGGAAAAATAACGTTGTCCAGTGTTATAAGCTACCATTTGTTTCTGCCAGTCACACTGCATAAGCAGGATGAAAAGGTCACTGATAGCTCTTTTGCATTTAATTCGATACTTCTTGATAGAATGTGCCACCCAACGACATATCAAGTCGAAAATATAGTGGTGCTGGAATTGTTCGTGAGTAGCTGTTGGAATCATCTACCCGGACGAATCAAAAAGCAGCCGTGTCGTCCTCGCTTACCCAAAAAGTGGATACTAGTCAACAAACTCCGGGCGTCACAGTGGGCAACTGCATATGAAATGCTAGTCCCGACTGTGTCACTTTGTGGGGTTGAAGCAGTGCTACGAGTACCAGGACGAAGACTGTTATTGGGATTTTGGCCGAGTGGCGTCGAGTATCCAGGCATCTCGTTATTTCTATCTCGCTAGAGAATATTTGTCAGCTTTCCATCTACATGGCGCAGCGGAGCATCCAAGTTAGTGATGTTGGTCTTTAGGAGTCATGGAATTTCAGGAAGCTGCTGAGCTAGCCACCGGGTCTGCTCCTACGGATGGAGGAGAAGGACCGAGGCAATCTTTCTGATTATAGACCAACATCAGAGAACTGGTTCAAAGATGGTGTAGGAACGGAGGCAACCCCTAGAATACGGATCTTTCATTGGATAAAGGGAACAAAATGTGAAAAAGAACGTTTGTCATTATACCTTGATTAACGTCTCAAGGGAGTCCCACGTGTGACTCCAAGTCGTGGAGTCTAGCGATTGTTCTTTAAGTTTCGACCAACACTCCCTTTCAAAACTTTTTCATAGCTTCGCCATATACTTCCTCTTTATCAAGTCTTTTGACGGTGTTGGTACGACCTGGTAGTCGTAAAAGGGTGATACACAAATATAATCTCTGTTTGTATTCATTCGTGTATGAAGAGTAAAGGTAAACAGAGGTGGCACCCTACAAGCTTAAGTATATGAGTGGCAAGCCACTCACATGACCTAAAGCATATAGATCCACCAGGCTCTCGTACAAGGTGCTATTCACCAGAATTATATACCGACAGACGGAAAGTATAATTCCTGAGAAAGTCGCTAACATGATTTTTCACTTCATAATAACGTTTGTTTTTGTATTTTGCTCATATGAGTCAAACAGAAACTTGATCCGCGGGACCATCTTTTTCCGGAAAGGACCCGAGATCTTATTGCAAGAATATGTAAGTACTTGGAAACCCATCCTTGGTCTCAAATTAATGACGACTAAAACTCGACAGGTCAACCGTATATTGTTCAGACCCCGGAGGGAAAAGATATTGTGCTCTCTTCGGAAATACACGTAAAGGAATTGGGTCTCTTCATCACCAGTGAAATACTCCACCATAGTCCTGGAATTTTAGCGTCGTGAGTAAAGTAATGATTCAGCCATACCTAGCTATCGCTCACACGATAGCAGTCCTATTGCATACCTCACCACTAGGGGCCATCGCTCTCTAACAGGGCTTCGAGCAATACTAACACCGATAGTCGAACATGGCTTAGAGACTGCTTGGAACGATGAAACTGACAGTTCAAAGAAGCCTGTAAGTCCCCTCAAGAAAAGGAGAGAAAAGATAAGGGAGAAGTTTGTCTGACAATCTACGCAGAAGGCTTATATTGAGCATCTCATTCAATTCTGTCAAAAAAAGGGCGAGTTTTCTGTCTCTGATATTGTCCAACAATGCCTGGCAATATGGCTAGCAGCAATGCACCAACCAACTACAGTAAGTTGATTACTGCATCACTGAAAACACACAATCCTAATGCCATTCCAGGCTGTCGTGTTTCTTCTCTTTGAACTTTCTTTACATCCAGAATATCTTATGCCTCTTCGCAAGGAGATCTCGCAACACGCAGGCGATGAATTTCCACATTCAAAACATCTGCCACTTCTAGATAGCATAATGCAAGAGTCAGCTCGACTCAATAGCTCAGAAACAAGTACGTACATAATTCAATCTTTTTCCCTTTTTCTTTTGCCATACTGAATGCTAAATATTCCTTTTTAGTTACTTTAAGACGGAAAGCGACCAGTAAATATACTTTCTCCGATGGGATGAAAGTAGAAAAGGGACGTACAGTATATGCGCCTCTTAGAGCAATGGGTCGCGACCTGAGTCATTTTCATGATCCGGAAAGTTTTATCGGTGATAGATTTCTGCAGAGCGGAAATCTGAAGCCGAAAGATTCTACGAAGGGGTCAGAATACACAGACATCACTGCTAAATATCCATATTGGGGATATGGCATAGACTCTTGGTAAGCAGCAATATTCACATCTTCTACATCGATAGATTTTGGGACTGACGATACATTCGGGGGTTAAAGTCCAGGCCAATTTTATACATCTCTCATCATAAAGACAACTATGATACATATCATACGCGACTTTGATTTCAAACTCATCGACGAGAAAGCACCTAGAACATTTTCTTGGCGTACAACTATTTTGCCACGACCTTCTGCACGTCTGTTGGTCAAGCGTCACAGTATAGACCTTGAGGCGGAGCCTAGATGATGTAGAGCAAGGATCTGATTTTGGCATACGATGAATTTCCTTTCGTACTTCAGTCAGGCTGAATGAAGAAAAACGGATTTGGCCAATGCAATTGATGGAGAATAAATCGGAGGGGGGGCGTATGCAGACGATGTAGCAACTGCATGAGACCCCTGAAAATTGCGGGGAGGGCGTGTGCAGATGGTACAGTAATGGAGCAAACCCCAGATGAATATCCTGTACCCTAGTTCAAGGCTGCAGCAATGACGCGATTGTGTGGCGTTGACTATTCTGAATGATGTACCACAGAGTATTGTGGATAAGCGCCAATGGTGATTTGGCCTACTCAAAATATCCTTTTCAGGCATGATATCTACAGAATTTCTGTTGTATGCATGCATGCCTGTTTGGTCCAGGCTCTTCAGACCCCAACGTATCGAATTAAAGTGATGTTGAACTGCCGTCTATAGTAAAAACTTTGCCCTCCGCGGCGCCTTGTCTAGAATACCTGGTAGCGGATCTAATTGGTTTATTTTGACACTGATGGGATGGTTAAGCGCCAGCTCTGTGGATTCTCAGGATCCTTCCCATATTTTTCAAGCAGTACAACAGAGATTCCGTAGATGGTTGCATCCGAGCTGCATGCAGGTAAGTTGGTTCCTAGGTTTGAAGTGAACAAGATCACCAGATAGATAGCCCCGTTGAGTGTTACATTGATAGTCCAGTTATAGATGAGAACAATATAAACTGTTGGTTGCGGGAGATCTTCTCCACATCTCTACTGCAGATCCGATGATATGAGACATGTTCGTCACAGCAGAGCCAACAATCCGGTTAATAGTGAACACTGCCCAGGACAGCGCTGGCCCAGGACTTTGCAGATTATTCCGGGAGTAGACAGTTCTGCGTATTAGAGTGGGACAATATAGTACGCACGTATATTAGTACGAGACGGAAAGGGGATAAATATTTAACCTGTAGAGTAAGGTATAGGTAATTAAGGGGAAAAGATAACATACTATATTTAAGGAATCTATTAAATTAATCACCGTAACCTTACGATCTATAAAAGGTGATGTTTAACAAATAAAACAAACAAGTAGGAAATAGCTAATAATAATTACCTCCTATTATACTACTTCTACAACTATTATATCTATAATCCTCTTTTCTCTCCTTTTAGGCTATTAAGCCTTATTTCTACTTGAATAGTAAATATATAGATACGAAAATAGACAGGAACTAGATGTCAAGGGTTGCACCCGTGGAGTGAGTCTTGGAGTGCTCCAGCGACATGTGCACGTGACCTCTAAGCAGACTTGGTGGAACCTTCTAGAGTATTGGTAAAGGACACGTAGCCAGTTCTGTGGTATATAGAGAGGGCTGGGAAGCTGCTTTGGGAAGGACAATCGAATCTTCTTGTACATAGACAACCTCTGTAATTCAATTCATCAGCATTTGCTACAAGTCCTGACACTAGACAGACTTCAAGTTTATTTTATACTTATATAAGCGGCGTAATAAGGACTACTTAAGGATAATTCGATTAGCTAACCTAATAAGATATAATTTGTCCCTGCATTAGAACCTCGTCTTATATCTCTATTAATCTTACATTTGAAATGCTACCTTATATGCCGAAGAGATGCGGTATCCTAAAATGACGCGTGTAGGTAGTAAGTAAATAGCAAGTACCCCAACGTATCATTGAGAAAGGTCTGTTACCTTGATAGGGGTCAGTTCTCCGTGAGCGTAAGCAAAGTTACGTTCTTACTAGTGTCGATTTCTATCATGTTTCTCGGCCTATAGCCATAACACGAACTACTCTGAGATGTAGCTAAAATCCATATTAACATTAATTAGTAAGTTGTTCTTCGATTAGTTATAATGAACCCTCCTTTAAGAACTGAATATTTCACTTGCATTAATCAAGCTGTGAAGAAAGCTTCGCTGGGGGATAGAAGAAACACTGTACACTGCTAGTGGACCTTGACAACCAGATATGCCACTTGGCTAAAAGCGCACAAACTAAACCTCATATTGATAGAGAGCGATTCGGAATGTGGAGAGTCTACCTTCACGATATATCGAAGATATCAACTGGCGCCAGCAGTGAGGTTTCTCTCTATTGGTCTCGGAAAGAACCCTAGTCAAGTAAAACAAACAGCTGAGGAAGTATCATATAATGACGTGGAAGTCCTTTCTATGGCTTCTACGTTCTAACTGCTAAGACTCTAGGTATCCATTATACAATAAGGAGAAAGGGATTTTTTTTGGAATTGCTGTATCTTCAAATCCTCATTTAATAAAAAAGGAAAGGCCACTATAGTACAGTCTCCAAAGTCTAACGACCAACTACCAACCAACAAACCAACACACAACCCCCCTCCTTTCCTCCACTTTCCCCCCCCCAACCCACAGAACCAAAAAACCCTCCTCTCCCAAGACCCCTCACACCTCTCCCCTCCCAGGTCCTCACCACCCCTCTCCCCTCTCCTTCTTCCCCTCCCCTCCTCCACACAAAAACAACAAGCACATCAAAAACAGCGCTCGGTGATCTGCGCGACACACCGGATGGAGTAGAAAGGGTGTTCGCTTGCGTCGCCGGGGGTGAAGAGATTGAAGATTTGAAGATTTGAAGATGTGGGGATGTATATATGGTGTGGGTTTTGGGGGTGTTTGTGTTGGTTGGTTGATGTTGCTGATTGAGGTAAGGAGGGGATGGCGAGAGGGGAGAGGGGGAGGAATGGGAGAGGAAAAGGAAAGGGAGTGGAGAGAATTTGGCTGTGAATATAATTCTGAGGTAAATAGTAAGTTATACTAAGTCCCAGAATAACCAACCCACCATTCACAAGCCCAAGAGAAGACCAAAGCACACAGTACTGTAACCAAAAAAAAGTAGAAGCTCCAATCTCATTCTCAAAATGATACTATGATAGCCAAAAAATCATCCTCTCTGAAAAAAAGGAAACAGACATTCATTCATACTCCAAACACCAGATTCCCAGCAATCTATCCCAGTCTATATCGCGAAATGAAGAAATCTCGCATCCAAATGCATCACCTTTCCCAGGATATCCAACGCCGAGAAATAGGCCCCTCTAAAGCCATCCACCTTGTTTTACAGGAAATAGCTGTTGATGGCAACAGATGCAAGGAGCAGCCCGCTACAACTTGTGAAGACCAAGTCGCGATGTTGAGGTCCTGGAGAAAGGTTAGTACAGATGGAAAAAAGGGATGGAAGGGATTAGGAGTAGAAGACATACCCTCCCTAGTGGTACTCAAAACCAACACGACAAAGACGTTCAACGGCACTCTCATCAGTCCATACACATTCGCACGAACACTATCATCAATCACCTTTCCTTTCTGGTAGGCCATCAGTGGGAAGTAGATTCCACAACAGAGCTCGAAAACGCAGAAACACCAGAATGTGATTCGCTCGTCACGGATGAGGGCGGGGATGAAGAAGGATGCTGCGGCCACGCTCAACATGACGACGAGGATTTTGGTGGGTGGGATGGAGGAGTGGGATGTTATGAGGTAGTTGTAGAGCATGGAACCTAACATCATGCTGCACATAAGGATTGCGAAGATTAGACCGAACGGAAGGTCTGTTTTTGCCTGTTAGATTGGGTTCTGTAATAATAGAGAATGAATACTTACCATCTGCAGCTCCTGTGAGCTTATGGGAGAGCTTCAATGCGGGAAATTTGAAGAAGATAAAAATGTACATGGAGCCTTCGAAGAAACAGGAGGTAGCACCAAGAGCAAGTAGTCGTTTATCTAGCAAGTAATTAGCTCCACACAATTCATGATTATTGCAAAGAATTTTCTTACCATCCATAAACAATCTCCAGGTGCTCTTTCTTGGTGGTTCCATTTGTTCAACATCTGATCTACCACTGGCGGCTTCACCATAATTCTCACTCTAAAAATAGAATTAACATGAATTCCACAAAATCAAGTAACAAAACCTACCCAATTCGAAGAAATCATAAAGAATGCAGCAATCAAGCATCCAACGGCAGTCATGAAAGGTGCCTTCTGAGTCCCAGTCAAATCCGCGGCCCATTCCGCAATGACACCAGCTGTGATAGCAACGACACTATTCAATATCGTCATAATGCTGAATATTCCACTCAATGTGCTTCCTGGCTCGTCAGGAAACAGTTTATTGTATTCAGTGACCATCCAGCTCTCGAATACGGTGTACATGAGGGTTGTGCTGATGCCTCCGAGGGCTCGACCGAGGAAAAGGATCAGGATGTCGTCGGTAACGAGGGTCAGGCAGGATAACGAATATAACACGCAGAACACCAGACATGCCATCCTACGTCCATGTTTGTCTGCAAGCTTTCCAATAAAGGAAGCTGATACACCTCCAGCGAGGAAGCCGGTCATGAAGAGTGCTGCTACGACCTCTTCGGCGAGTCCTTTTTCATCTATGGATGTCGCATTAGTCCAGTATGAATTGAAATACGTCATTGGTGTCATAGATACTACCAAGCCAAGGCAATTTTGCATTGTAGAGAATATAGGGTAGAAGGCATACCTTTGTAAAGGGGATAAATGTACGGTCCCTGATATCGAGGTTAGTATTTGACTGTTCCCATGCCTCCCTTGGACGACGTACCTGCAACCAATCTGCTCCATTTACCAACAGATAAATCGGGACAAACTTCCATTTGAAGACCTTTAATAGAGCTTTTGTGTCGTTCGAAGCCACCAATTTTCTTGCATCGCTCTCCTTTTCGGTTTCTACATCTTCCTTCTGTCGCCATTCGCGATAGGCCAGCAGCGCATTAAGCACCACGAAGATAGCAAGGTTCAATAGATAGAATTCCATCGTGGGCGATTGATTGTATTTCTCCGTCCAGCGTGTTGAAATGTGCGGGAGAAGAGGAGAAAAGGTTGAAGGGGTCTGCACCGAGAGTGGACGTAGTCTAGTTGAATATCACCATAGGGTTAGGTTGTAACGTGGTTAGTGGCAGTTCAGGTTGGTGGGGACCTGGGAATGGCCACATCCCCGGAGTCACCCGAGCCAAGTAGTCCCAAGGGAAGATCCTGGAATGGCAGTTCAGGGCCGGAACATATCAGCTACGAGTACAGGGAATGCAATCCAGGGGCCCTGTAGGCTGTGGACTGGAGGCTGTACACTAGGCTGTTGTGTCCCTCGTACAGACCCAACAGGGCGTTTCGTGATATTGGGGGGCTGCAGCTGTACTCCGTGAGCCTCCAAAGATGTCATTCACTGCCTCCCACGCCAACCCGACGAGGGTTGGTGGAAGCTACATACCTTTCGACCCCAATTATTTATGGCCAATATAGTACCGTAGGACCGAGTGTGAAACCCTCGTTTCTTACTTCCAGCATAGTTCAGCCTTCCGAAATGCTCACGTTAATGCCTGACTTGTCTGGTTTACCTAAAGATATCAGATGATTAACAGGGGGGTGCTGGAAGTCTAATACGGCAAAAGAACAACTAGACCTTTCGGAAATGCCTTTGCTAAGTGTTTTATTCCGTAACTTTAAGAAGCAAATAAAATTGTTCACAAGATAAATTACGAGAACATCTGTCACAGCCGAGGTGGTGGCTCACGAGGCATCGGTTTATTGTCGAATGAGGAGGATTCGCTTGGCCCCAGCTAGCTGAAAACCATAGCCTCATCAACGACTCACCACTCGACATCTTCCCATATCTCGTACGTCGCAACACCTGAGGCTGAACACATAGAAATCCATATCATTTCCACGTGCTGGATATTGGATGTCAGGTCCCGTCTCCTTAAGATTTTCGGTTGGGTGACCTGTAAACCATTTAGGAATGCTAACGTGAGACAGCATCAATAACTACCAGCCGAAATCTACACAAAAATTGAGGAGCCTCTTAGATCATACGAAGTAAGAGCATCAAGTTCGTTTCTAAACAACCCAAGTCCCTTCAAACAATTCTCGCCTTGTCCAACGTTCCATCGTTTGGTACCGCACAAACTCCATCCATCCCCAAGACGCATGGGATCAATCTTCCTACAATCCCCACAATACACACCCCATACCGGGGAACATGGGGAGCCGCATCCACTTCCAAGAGACCAGTGAGTGTGACACAACATGTGTAGTACAAGTACCAACAACCCCACCATCTACAAACCTGGGCCAGCCAGCATGCTGCATGCGAAGCGCAGCGCTTCCCCGCCGCACGCGCATCGCAAACAAAAGTGACAAAACACCTCCCCAACGTTTCCTTACGAACCGTAACAGGGAAATCAAATCCTGAAATGATATCACATTAGGCTGTGACGGAAATGCTACATTTAGATGAACTGGAGCTTCGCCCACAGACGCCACAGGAATGGGATGATGAACTGAGCCATCCAACCAACAATTTACATACATAAACCAACCGTTGACAAGCGACCAGCATCTAACATGCGACCAACATTTGACAAACAACCTCGAACATGCAAAGAGTCCCGCTGTTGGACAGTTGGAACGGTACCTCGTACAAGATCTCCAGAGAGTTTCGCACTAGCGCAACAATAGGCGACGACAGACCCTCGTATCCTTGAAAAGGGATGCCGGACCAGGTGTAGAAGGCTGAGGCGAACCTCCCGACACGGCGCAAGTAAATTACAGCGTGACATAGAAATACAGTAAGACCGTTTTACCATCTTTCTCCAAAACTTTCGTTTTCCATCATTTCTCACTGTGGTATTTTTGTTTCAATCATTTATTGTTTTTTACCTTCGCGGTTTGTCTTGGTTTTTCTTGTCGAGAATCTACTAATAAGTCTGTAGTACTGTATATATATATCAAACGGTGTTAACATCTAGTCTTAGAGTGAAGATCGGCTGTACTTCTAATAATGAAGACGCGATATTTGTCCTGTACATAACACTACAATAAGGCTAGTAGGTAAGGATGCAACTATCAGGGTGGGTAGCCACAAATAGTCTTACACTTCTACACAAACCTAATCACTGCCGTTCAACCCAAGCCCTCATTTCCATTCTTACCTCAAACACTACGTAAAGCAAGAAGTACAGACCGGGGTCCCATCCCATGCCAACCGACGGCGAGGGCCAAGAGCAGGGATCCAAAAACGGGGCATTTTCAAGCAGATCCAAGAGCTATTTTATAAGGGGGGATTCGTTGTTTCGTCCCCCCAATTTCTCTCAACACATACAAACGCCGCCCCACCTCCTCTCCCCTCCACCTAGATTGAAAAGCTAGCAGTGTTGTCTTATTAACAAACCCTCCCCTCCAAACCACCAATGCAATAAAACCCTCCTCAAAAAACCATGGCTAAATCCCCCAACTGTCTATCAATCAGCGCGTGTGTAGGCATAATCTTCATCTTCGCAACACTCTGGAGTCTACAGAACCGACCGGAATATATCGACGCGCTGCGGAATCAAGTTCAGCCGACAGGTACAGATGGAGAGGCGCAAGCGCAAGCGCCGGTTCATAAGTTACCTCCTGTGAGCAGCGACTCGAAGACTTATGAGAGTGTGGACCATGAGGGACCGGTTTCTTCTGGGAAGAGTGGGAAGGAGGAGTCTTCGACGAAGGGAGGGAAGGAAGAGTCTTCTGAGAAGAAAGGACGCCCGAGTTTTACGGAGATAGCTATGAAATGGGGGACGGATAAGGTTACTGGGCATAATTACCATTACAGTTCGTCTATCACCTTCTTCCTTTCTCCCTTACTATTTGGAGTATGGAAATGGTATGCTAACGAAATCTAGTGTACGAGAAATACATGGAGCCCATCCGGGATCGAAAAATCAAAATGCTGGAGATTGGTCTCGGATGCAAGTACGTTACCTATATCCTCTACAATTATTCCACTCAGAAGGAGTACTGTAACACTAACTATCTACAAGTATGAACTACGGACCCGGAATGTCATATCATACCTGGCTGGAGTTCTTCCCAAATGTTGATTTGGTACGTCTCACTCACTCCTCGTACGGCTCAAATTTAGAAAAAAGGACGACGAGAGGAAAGGAAATGAAGCTAACAAATTCACCACCAGTATTACATCGAATACGACGCTGCCTGCGTAGAACGCTGGGGCGCAGTAAGTTCCCTCCCCCATTTCCCTATTTTCCCCCTTCGCCCCCTTCACCCCCCAAACTAACCC